TTATAATAATTTTTAAGTAATAGTAAAAAATATAATATTTTTATAATTAATGTAGATTTTAATTTTATATTTATTTTTTTAGTAGTAATAGCTTTATTTATTTATGTAGTTTTTAATTTCTAAAAATTCTTTATTATAAATAAGGTAATATATTTTAGTATTATTTAGTTTTTTAGAATAGAAAGCTATAGGGTGGAGTTTTTTATTATTACTAAGTTGGTTTATTACTTTTTTAATTGTATATTTTAATGCGTTTATTTTAATGATAATGGGTTTATTAGGATTATATATTACTAGGATAGGTGCTAAGGTTATTGTGTTTTTTAATATTTAAAATGTTTATTTTATTTTTTTAATTAACTTAAAGGTTTTTCCCTTTTTTGTTATGTTGGTTAGTGGGGCGGCTATTTTAGAGAAGTTTTTAATAAATTATTAATAGTAATTTATAAGTCTGAGGAAGTTTTATATTTTTTTAATAAAGTTAAAAGGCTTTTAGTCTTAGATTGCAGTGATTTTCTTAGGGTTTATTTTTACTTCTTTAGGCGTTATAATGTGCCTTAAAAATTTAACTTTTTGTGAATGGAATTTATATTTTTCTGGGTTGATGAGTAAATTATTTTTCTGTAGTATTTATAGGATTTAGTGAATATACTGTTTGTGTTTTTTTAAGGTTTTAGAGTAGATGAAAATGTTGTTTATATAGGCGATAGTGAATTTTTTTAAATATAGTTTAAGTATATAGTTAATTCTTTTTTAAAAGGATACTGGAGTATTAGTAAGTCTTTAGGGTATAACCTAAAATTTATAAGATTTGCCTAGTGTGCTAAAGGCTATTTTCTATTTATATCTTTCTTTTATTTTAGTAAGATTATAGGCTTCAGTAAGGTTTAATAAAGTAAACTATTTGCTTTTTTATAGTTTATTTTTTATCTTTATAATTAAGGGTAGTGGCGTTTTATTTTTAATAGTAATGTTATTTAGTTATCTATAGTTAATAATTAGTTGAAGTTTACTGTTTTTCTTTAGAATAAATAGGATAGGGTATTTTGCGGGTGATTTGGAGATTTTAATGTATTTTTTCTTTTTTTATTCTTTAATTTATTTTTTAAGGGTTTTAAGTTTAAGTTAATTTAGGTTATATAGAGGGAAATACTTTAGGGTAGTCCTTTTTTTTAGTTTAATTTTATAATTCTATTTAGTATATGGCAGTAGCTTAGTTTTTTTATTTTTATCCTTTAGTGTTTTTTAAAATAAGCTTTTATATTTTTAATATTATTTAGGGATTTTTTTTAATAGGTTAGTGATTTTTTTTGGTGTATTTTTAATTATTTTAAGGTATTTATTAATTATTATAAGTTCTTATTGTATTTAGGTAATTTATTTGCGGGATTTTACCTCTGTGTTTTTTATTTATTTATTTTAATATTAAAGTAGTGTATTTTTGGGCTGGGGGAGTTAAGGCTTTTGGCTTCCTCTGTTCTCCTTTTATATTAAAGTTCTTTCGTTATTGCGTTAATAAATTTAGCCTATGTTTTATTATATATTAGGTTTATATTTACTTAACTATAATATTCTTAAGATAATATTATACTTTAGGGTATTTGCGATATTATATATAATTGGGGTTTTACAGTTTGTAATTTTAAGGTGTAGGTAATTAATTTATCTTTTAATTTATTTATTGTTATAATTAAAGGGTTATCTTTCGGTATAGTATAATTTATATTTCTTTTTTTTATGTTTTTATAATAACTATAGGTAAATTATAGTTTTTACAGAGATATAGTTACTATTTGCTCTAATATTTACTATTATTATAAGCGTTTCTCTGTTTAATAATACCTTAGTAATGATTTTTTTTACTTTAGTATTTTATTCTTTTTTATTACTGTTGTAATTATATTTTTTATTAAAGGTTATAAAATATTATTAAGTTTTTTAATGCCCTTTTATAAGAGATGGTTTTTGTTTTTTAAGTGCTAGTCTTTAATTTTACTGTATATATATTATTTATATTCTTTATTTTTATAGTTTTTCCAGTTTAAGTTTTTAAGGCTGTAGTAGAGTTTTATTTATTAAATGTAGATTCTGCAGTTTACTGTATTATGTTTTTTGTTTAAAGTTTTTTAAAGTTTATAGAGTAGTGTTAATTATTTATTTATTGCTTTTTTATAAGTTTTAAAGTTAAATCTTTAATACGTTAAGACCTGTATAAGGTCCCGTTTAATGATTTTTCTATTGTTTTATTAGTCTTTATATTATTTATTTAGTTTTTTATCTTTATATTAAATATAAATTATTTTAAAATAGCTGCTATATTAGTTAGTATAGTAGTTTATTGTTCTTTCTCTTTAGTTATACTATTTAAGTATTTTTCTTATTTTATAAAGCTTATAGTAATAGTTTAAATATAGGTTTAAGGTTTTATTATTTATATATTCTTTTGGTGAAGTGGGGTAAGGTTTAAGGATAGTAATCTTTAAATCTTAGTTTTTATAAATGATTTTTTATTTCTGGTATTAATAGGATTAGTATATTTTGTTAATTAAGTAGTTATAGATTTTCTAAGGGTAGCTATTATACTTTACCTTTTATTTAAAGTATTATATATATTAATTATTTATACAGTTAGTTTAATATACTTTTTTATAAAGTTAATAGTTAAGGTTAACTTAAGGGTGATTTTTTTAAATATATTAATAAGCTTTATATATTTTAAAAATTTCGTTAGTATTATAAGCGTAGATAATTCTACGTTTATTATTATATAAATATTATTTTTTAAGTTATTTAAAGAAGTTTTTTTTAAAGTTTTTTCCTTTAATATATAGTTTTAGCTATATTTGGCTTTTAGTATATGCCTTTAGTTATACTTAGAATTTACTAATCTTTTTAACTTCTGGTAGTTTATATTTAAGGTTTATAATATTTACAGTATATTAGAGGGCTAGAGGTATTTTATAGTTCTGTAGGTTTTCTCTATAATTGTCCTTTTAAATATTATTTTTTTTAAATATTTCTGTATTTAAAATAGTACCTTTTGATTTAAGGTTAAAATTTTTATAGGTAGGGCTATCTGCTTATTATAAAAGTGCCATTACTTAGTTTCTTTTTTTTATAAAATGAACTTTTTTTTTAGGTTTAGGGATTTTTTTTTTTTTTTTATTTTTTTTTAAAGCTTAGTAGTTTTTAACTATATAGCTTAATTTATTATAATTATAGTATTTAAAGTTTTTTTTTTTTTATATAGTATTAAGGTTTATTTTTTTTAGTTTTTTATTATTGTTTTTAATAATCTTTTTTTATTATTTCTTTTTTTAATTAGCTTAATAATTAAAGTTTTTATATTTTTAAATATTTTTATAGTCTTTAGTAGTTTTTTTTAGTTTAAGTTTATAAAATAGGTTATTTTAGTTTACTGTTTTTTATTAAAATTTTATTAAGGTAGTATTTTTTTTTTAATATTTATGGATTTTTTCTTTTATTTTATACTGAAGTTTATTATAGAATATTTTCTTTAAGAGTTTATTATTTTATTTTAATTATATAACTATTTTATTAAATTTAATAATATAAGTAATATATTTTCTTATTTACTTTAGGTTAATTAATTTATTTTTTAAGGTATATTATTCTTTTATATTTATAAATATTTTATTAATTTATTTTTTAAAGAATTTAATGTTTTTATATATTTTTATAGTTTTATAGTTTATTTTTCTATTAGGTTTATTAGCTTTATAATCTTTTTAAAAAGGCTAGAATTAGTTTTTTATAATTCCTTTAAAGTAAGTGGCTGTAAAGGTAACTTTTGTAGGTTTTTTAGCTAAAGTTTATAAAAAGTGCTAAATATAGTATTGGAGTTTTATAATAAAAGGTTTTATTTTTTTAAGTTTTTCTATAAAAGGTTTTAGATATTTAAGCTTTAGGATTTTTTTATTTTTTTTTTTTTTACTAATTTCTTTAACTTTATTAAGGTTTTTTATATTTATTTTATTTATAAGTATTTTGTTAAGTTAGAATATATTTTAAATAAATATTAGAATTTTATTTTTAAATAGTTTAGTAATATTAAGGATGTTTTTTATAATAATGTTTTTTTTATTATTTATTTAAAAAGCTTTAGGGTTAGTAATAGAAGTATTAATATCTTTAGATAATCTGGGTATAGTAGCTTCTTTTATTTAAAAGATAGGTAATATCTTTTTAAATAAGAGTTGTTAATATATAACGTTTTAATCCCTATTTTTAATATAGGGTAAAGGTTTTTAAGGTAATAAGCCTAGGTTATAGGTTTATATTAGTAGAGAGAATAGGGAGTAGTTTTTAAGCGGTTATAATTATAAGTGTATAAAAGTAGAATAGAAAGTATAATTTATATTTAGTTTTAATACTTTATTAACAACTAGCTATTTAAACTATCTGAATAATCGTAATGAAATAAACTTATATATTTAGTTATCTATTTTAAATTACGTATAGATTATAGTGTTTTTGGCTTATAATAGATTACAGTGGTAATTTATTATAGATGTTATATATAAGCGATCCCTTTGTAATTGGTTGGTCGGTCTGAGACTTATTCTGGGGTATGTATCTTCCCGGCCTTAAGAGGTTGGGTCGTAACAGAAACCTAGAATATGACAATAGAATTGAATACCTAGTTCGATGGGAAGGGTACGGACCCGCCTACGACACTTGGGAACCTGTTGAAAGTTTTAACTCTTAGGAACTGATAAAACAGTTTTATTAAAACTTTGGATTACATTGCTAAAAACCGCATTTTAATTAATTACGTTAACCCCGCCGGAAGACTGTATGTTAATAACCGCCTTTAACTCAGCCCGTTCTATCTTATCTAACTCATCTAAAGAACGAGCACCCCTGCGGAGCATCCGCTCTCTGCGAATGTTAATCTGCTTACGCTGCTCTTGCAGCCTAGCCAGCTGCGTAAACTTTTCATTTATCTGTTAAGTCAATAATATTACTTACTGCTGTTGTTATAATAGTTTTTGTTCTGTCTGATGCTCTTTAGCGTCTATACGCTCCTTTTCAGTAGCTAAACGTTGCGCTGCGAAATTAGTATAAAAAACACCAGTAAAAAAAAAAAAAATAGAAAATCACTTACTATTAGCCAACGAAATCCCATTTCTATCGTAAGTACGACTACGACGCATACACTCTTTATACCTCTTATAACCAGGCGCCATTTTGTAAGGTAACTTATTAGTTTTGCAATATGAGTAAGGCATAACGAGGAATCCAATGGTCTTAATTACGAGCACCGCCGCTTTACGATTCTTCGAAGATTTTTTAATAGTAGGAGACTGCTGACTTTGCTTAGCAACACCGCGAGGCATCGTTAGGAATAAGAAAGGAGACTTACCTAAGAACCAACACAGGGGCCTAACGTACTATATATAGGCCTTAAGGGCAAGACCAACGAGAAAGGGACATCGTGTTACGACCCAAACAGAAGTACATACCCTCCGGGTAAAATACAGAAGGAACAACCAATCAGGATCAGGGATTCTGGAGCTCACTCCAGTACATACAACCTAGGAAGTAAGCCTCAACACCAAGGTTACAGGCTCACCCAGTACAAAAGGACATCACAATATAAGCCCAAAAGAACGACTAAATATATAAGTTCACTTCATCACAATCATTTAGATAGTTTAGATAGCCAGTCGTTAATAAAGTATTAAGACTGAATATAAATTTTACCTTTTATTTTACTTTTATGCATTTATAATTATAACTGCTTAAAAGCTACTCCCTGTCCTTTCTGCTAATATAAACCTATGACCTAGGTTTATTACTTTGGGAACCTTTACCCTATATTAGGAATAGGGATTAGGACGTTATAATTAGTATAAAAGTATAGAATAAGTAGGAAAAAGATTATAAATTAAAAAGATTAGGCTAACGGTTACTTTATATAACTAACTTTAAAAATAAAGCTAATAGGAGGGAGTATTATATTATAACTTAACCTCTTAAGGCTGGAAAATATATACCCTAAAATAAATCTTAGACTAATTAACTAATTATAAAGAGATTGCTTATATATAACACCTATAATAGATTACTACTGTAATCTATTATAATTTAAAAATACTATAATCTATATATAATTTAAAAAAGGCAACTGAATATATAAGTTTATTTTATTATAATTATTTAAATAGTTTAAATAGTTAGTCGTTAATAAAGTATTAAGACTGAATATAAGTTATACTTTCTATTTTACTTTTATATATTTATAATTACCACCGCTTAAAAGTTACTCTCTGTTTTCTTTGCTAATATAAACCTACGACCTAGGCTTATTACCTTGGGAACCCTTACCCTATACTAGGAATAGGGATCGGGACGTTATATTATCCTATAGTTAAACCTAGCTTCCTGTATATACAAAATAGAACCAATAATTAAGTTCATGGTTAGAGTTGTATTCCCTTTAAGTATCTCTTTGTTGAAAAAAAAAAATTTGCGGCATATTAAGGCGGTTGATTGATTAAGAATATCTATTAAGGTGAGGGGTTAAGCTAACTCCCGACGTCATATTTTTCCCAAGTTTATAGCCAACGCCTCACTCTAATTAAGTTATTAACGACTAATCTTAATTACTTTCGGAGTCTTTCAACAATATGAGTCCAACGACGCCACATTCCAGCAATATTGCCAATAGCAATTTTGGCAATAATGTTAATATCAATTAAAGAGTCATTCACAACTACGCGCCCCCCCGACGGACCCGTGCTTAGCAGACTTACGAGTCACCGATCCCCGCGATGACAAAACGCATATTGAAGAAACTAAAGGCAACCTACTAAGGGACTCGTACTGCTGGATCCTCAACCATGCCAACTTTAAGATATGGCGTAACGATCCGCAGTGTCGGCTACTCTAGATTAAAGGGTACCCTGGCAAGGGAAAGACTATGCTGCTGTACGGTATTATTGATAAGCTAGAGGCGCTGCGCCTGGGCGGCTCTGTAGGGGCCGCCGCCAAGCCCATTTAGTTTATGTCAGCCAGTAGCACATGAAAGCTCAAATACCCCTCTTTGTTCGATTTGTCTTGCAAGTCATTCATTCGTTGCTGTTGATTACCGCCATTTGGTTTTTATGTCACGTCCATCGGTGGTTATACTCATATCCCTTGGTTACTGATTCCTATGCTTTTGTTGCTGATATCACGATACTACGATTAGCTTGGCTTCTTATCCACTCAACTGGGCCTTAGAACCTGCCCCTAGGACCGTTTCAAATATGGTGGAGATCCTCCAAGGCCCAGAGAATTGGCATAACTGGATCAAGTCCATGTCCTGGGTTGGTTATACTATCTGGGATTTGGTTGATCCCTCCAAAGAGCAGAAGTCAACGCCGTTGCCGCCGCCAGCAATTCCAACCTACAAGGATGTCAATTCCGGGGCAGTAGACACAAATGATCTAACTGTAACCGAAATACTCAGGCTAAACGTGTTACATGCCGAGTACTTGGTTAAACTTGAGAGATATGAGGACCAGCAGGAAGACCTTGCCACGTTGAGACGGGAAATTGCCAACAGTGTCGGAGGGTATGGGTACTTGATTGCTGGCGAATATGATCTCGCCAATCAACTAGCCATACTTAGCAACAAACTGAAACCTAGTGACGAGGCGTATAGGCAAATGATATCGGACCGATATTACGCTGCTTTGAGGGCACCGGTCAAGTCAACCCTGTGGGATTGGTACCTCCAATGGCTCATAGCCTATAAGACGGCTAAGGGCCTGGGTCTCCCCAATACAAACGATCTTTGTGCTACTCGCCTCGTCTTACGGGCCTTGGCGTCCATCTACTCGACACTCTCCGACGACTATGAAATCCTGATGGAAGACTTGGCCCAGTCGGACGAGCCTGGCTGGTACAAAGGCCTGCCTGAACCCCTTATTATTTGTAAGACCCTCGCAAGCCGGGGCGACTGCAAAATATTTAGGAAAATCAATCGCTCTGCAAACGTCCTATATGAGTCACAGAGGGCTGGGCCCCGCCCCCCTCGAAAGGCCCTGATTCTTCAACAGCGCCGTAAGCCTTCTGAACGCACTGAGTTCGACGAACTGGCTTATCGTAATGAAGTTGCGAAGCTATATGATTATCACCTGTCGCTAGGCATCGACGGGCATAAGCTGGACGACTATCTCAAGAGCTGGCGAAAAATGATTACAGAAGCTCGGCGCCTTGGCTATCCACCAATATCAAACCATTCGTTGGTTTTCTATTTTCTAGAAAAGGTGTCCCCAATTTATAGGGAATTTGCTTGTTATTGGAAGAATAAGAAGTTCGACAAAAAGACCGAGGAAGGACCAGAGGATTCGCCTGATCCTATTGCGCTTAGTGAGATGTTTGAGCGATGTTTCAAGAGAAAAGTGCTTGGTCAAATCGATACTCTCTTTGGATTTGGCCCAAGATCATATGACTTCAAGCTATACCAACCACGGGGAGGCAAGAAGTCGAAGCCTCCCAAACCAGTCAAGGCGGCTAAACCAACTGGCTCGCCCAAGTCACCTTGCCTTTGCGGCATGCAGCACTTCTACACGCAATGTTTTTACTTAGTCGACGAAATAAGGCCTATCCACTGGATGCCGTACACCGATGTGGCATCTAAGGTGTTTAAGCAATTGAAAAATCCCTATATAAGGGCCAAGGTAGTCAAGGTCATGGAGAAGAGGGGGGTAACAATGAACAAGGTACCTCTTGAGGCTGCTCCAGGGCTGCGGATAATTCAATCTGATTGCAGTCAGAGTACAAATAAGCTCAATCCAATTCAATCAGAGATACTCAATTAATTGATAGTTTCAATTATTCTTAAAATTTAGGGGATATGTAATGAAAGGCTTATTTTAATTATTTCCTGTGATCATACCCTAAAGTAAAGAAACTGTTTTAATCAGCATTTCTAAAAAGGAATAGTATAATTAGCTTATAACACTACATTGTCACGATTGCAATTACTAGCTTAGGGATAAGTTTCTAAGCACGTGATGTTTATGTGATTTGTGATACAGTACAATATTCTCCTAATGTGTTATTCTAATAACTTTGTAATGGAGGGTTGAAGGGGCGTTTGAAATATATAGTATCTGGTTTAGAATTTAGTAGGGTAGAACTGTGTCGCCACTGTTATATTGCAAGTCAGTTGCTAAGATAATGGCGACGATAACCGCAACTAGGCGCCGGAAATGGCACTTTATCCAAAAACGGACGGAACTCTTAGGCTATAAGACGGTACATGATGATGAGAGAGGATTAGCACTGTACCAGCCACAGTTTCGCAAAGTGGTCTGTGCGGAGAAAAACTTTGCATTAACAGAAGCGGACACTCATTTCGGTCGCCACTGATACATATACTATGTAGGTGCTCACGTATACCACTGGTGACGAAATCAATGCTATAATTAAAACAGTAAAACCACGTAACATCAATTCCTAGGACAATCGAAGCTATGGTGAAGCTAATGCCCAAGTCATCTCACATCTCACTTAACTTGATCACAACAGCCGTGACTTTGCTCGCAACTAGAGCACATGTAGAGAGCTGCAATAACCTGCTGTGCTTTGTATAATATTTTTCACTTGCCATATCGCATCTCCAGCCTTATTTAGACTCTCTCTTGAAATGATGACATACAATTCTCGGTAGTTGATAAATACGAGACCATCGTCATCACGGACAGCATCACCGCCTCAATCCATCCGCTCCCTTGCACCCGATGCCGCAATACCCGCTCCAGGACAAAGAAACAAGGCCAGCAACTCATCACGAACTCGGTAATTCCACTCAGCTCTCACCACGCATCCGCATCTCGGCCCGTTGGCCAAACGGAACAAAGCGAAGCCCCCAGTCAGGACCGAGAAATCTAACCCCCGACAGCCGCCAGCTACCCCGATGCCGAGCTTTCCCCAGATTCGGGGCGAATAGCGGCGGTCCATGTGAATCATAGCTGGCGGCTGAGCATGACAATTGAGGAAAAAAACTGGATTGTAGCTACTAGGCAATCTTCTGGAATTCGATATTGGTGGATCCCACCGCCGGTTCATCACAAGATGAAAAAAACAAATCTGGTACCTAGGCTTGGATCGGTCGGCAACCAGTGCATCATCTGACTAGGGGGCGGAAATGGCGAACAAAACCGTTAGTCAGGAAAATTCTTTTGCCTCAACTACGACTCGGAGTTTAAATACAGCAGCCCGGCAACCGGATTCTTGACGAGAAAAAAAGAGGTCAATTCATTCAACCCAATCTCATTGCTTCCCTTGATCCTAGCAAAGATCCCTCGGCACAGAACTTCCGACGAACCGCTACTGCATACATCTGGGGCACCCACTAACTCATTCGCTGTGGTGCTGGTGGCTTCTATAAAACAGACGTCATAACTAGCATTACTGTCCGAATCCCGAAAAGGCTATGCGCATTGCAATTTGATACTGAAATTAACATCTCCGGTACTATAAAGGACAACTTCACCCTTTTTTTAACCTCAATTGAAATTGTTTTTGGGGGGCCCTTTTGGAAATAAAGATTTTGCATTGTTTCTTCGTCTCATTGAAGACTCCTGTCATGATGGCAACAACAACAGCCAGGGCCGCAGACGGCCAACTTGGAGTAATAACTGAAAAACCGCCACAACCTCGAGGAGACAACGACGACAACAACGGCGGCAGCAGCAGCAGCAGTAGCAGCAGCAGCATTAATAACGACAATCCAAACACTGCCGATACTCCATGCTCCTCAAAGTCAAGACCTTGCAAGAACAGCCGCGGCTGGCGCAAAATCGTCCGCAACTTTACTCCATCGTAAGTCTCACATATACCCTCCAACACCCTCAAAGAGAGACCATCCAGCTCGGCCTCAACTAACACAATGGCTTCAAAAGATGGTTCGCCGTAAACATGGGAACGGGCATCGTCTCCATTCTCCTCTTCAACCTCCCCTGGAACGGATATTGGCTGCACATCATCTCGTACATCTTCTTCAGCTTGAACATCCTGCTCTTCACCATCTTCTTCATCATCTCGCTGTTGCGGTATACGCTGTATCCTGAGATTTGGGTTGCCATGATTTCACATCCGGCGCAGTCTTTGTTCCTGGGGTGCTTCCCCATGGGATTTGCAAGTAAGTACATATTCTCTCATCTCTCCTCTTCTCCCAACGCCTCCATACTCAGCAACACCAAAAAAAAAAAAAATACTAACCCAAACCCGCCAGCCATCATCAACATGATGATCTTCGCCTGCTCCCACTGGGGCCCCTGGCTCATCTACCTCGCCTGGGCATTCTGGTGGATCGACGTCCTCATCTCAATGGCAACCTGCATCTCCATGCCCTTCATCGTCATGCACCGCCACCGCCCCGGCCTCGACAAGACAACCGCAACCCTCCTCCTCCCCATCGTCCCGGCCGTCGTCGCCGCTGCCACCGGCGGCATCGTCGCCGACGCCCTGCCCTCCGCCAGCCACGCCTACGCCACCCTCGTCGTCTCCTACGTCCTCTGGGGCATCGGCCAGGCCCTCTCCGGCTGCGTCATCGCCCTGTACTTCCACCGCCTGACCATCCACTCCCTGCCCCCGCGCGAAGTCATCGTCTCCGTCTTCCTCCCCATAGGACCCCTCGGCCAGGGCGGCTTCGGCATCCAGCAGCTGGGCAAGGTCGCCCTCAAGGTGATTCCCAAGACGGAAATGTTCCACGTTGCCGGCGTCGATCCCACGCGGGGCGCCGAGTTCCTCTACTTCCTCGGCGTCTTCTTCGGCATCGTCATGTGGGGGTTCGGCCTCGCCTGGGTCTGCTTCGCCCTCATCAGCCTGAGGACCACGCGCAATTTCCCCTTCAACATGGGCTGGTGGGGATTCACTTTCCCGCTGGGCGTGTGGGGGACTTGCTCCAATGCCTTGTGGCAGAATTTGGGCAGCGAGTTTTTTAAATACGCAACCATGGTGAGTTGCCTCTCTCTATCTCTCTCTGCGTGTCCTATCATATGAAAATGTCCTTCTAACTCGGTGAAACTAGATCATAACTCTTTCTGTCGTCCTTCTCTGGATCCTCGTCGCTTTGAGGACCTTGCACCTCGTTGCCACTGGCGAAATGTTCTTTGCCCCGTGCCTCAAAGATCTCCGCGAGAAAGAAGAACCTGCCACCGACAGTGACGCTGCGTGAGCAACGGTATAAATTTGGAATTCTTCTTTTTTAAAATTTATCATCATTATTAGGGCGCGGGCCAAAATATGCATCATTGGAGTACAAAATCGGAGCATTTTTCAACAAAGCCTTCTTCCAGTATCATTATTGCTGTAATAAGTACATATTTAACATGAACAAAAGGCGTATGGGTTTGGTTATGGAACAACATGGCGGGCGGCAAGGCGGCATCAGGCGATGCATAGATTTACAATTACCCTAGATTAATATGCAAAAATGCACTTTGTTATAATATCACAAGTGCTGCTTCAAGACAAAAGATATTCATCAACATGCTTCTTACAACGCTTACTGAGCTATCTATCCTCTCTTCTAGTCTAACAAGGGTTCCTTTGATATTCTCTCCAATATGTAATAGTACATTTTGTCCGCTTTACCTAAGCCATCTGGCATACGCCCAGCGAATCCTCTCTAGGGCCTTTGACTGAATATGCACCCCCTTGACATTCGCTAGGTCGTCCAGATCCTCCAAAAACTCCTTCTGAATGTTATCCGGCATCAGTTTGTTCGCCAGGCTACGAAGCACGTGAACCTCGCACAACAAAAGGCCGTGGTCTTTGTAGGACAGGACGTTGTTCTCTGTCGGCCTCGCCTCAGATAGGATGCGGTCAATGTTTCGCAGGATGCGGATGGCCTTGCCAGAGGCTTTGCTATGGCGCCGTCCAGATCGGCCACCAAAGATGCCGCGGAGGTACTGGAAGACACCAATCGATACAAAGACGCCAGGAGTCAGTCCTACAAAACCAAAAACCAGCTCTTGGCTCTTGAGGAGCGAATCAATGCCCGTCATGGCCACTTCGAGGTCAACCTTTGTCTTCTGAACTTGGATCAAGAGAGACCGGACAAGATCACCCCGAACAGCACCGACAAAGGGACTTCTCAAGTCTTGCTCATACGCTCGCAGGACTGGGGTCACATCACCTTCGGCCACTTTGGATCGGATGTCTGCAATTTGAGCCTCGGTGATGGATGAACCGCCAACGGCAAAATGGGGCTTGTCCGTGGCAAAGTCAACAACCATTCGCTCCAGGCTCTCCCGGTCGGCCTTGAGGCTGTCTCTGCTCATAATGGCGATTTCACTCGTCTCGTCGTGCCGAATAGTCTTGATAACCTTTTCGGTTGGCTCAACAACCCAGTTAAGCCAGAAGTCCCGCAACGTACTTCCAAAACCTGTGATCCATTCAATAATATCTGCTTTGCGGTTGACCAAGATCTTGAGAATGGTGGTAGAGGAGGTGATGCCGATGAGAGCAGGGAGCCAGTATCGAATAATGGCCGGCGGTCGGCCGTTTTCATTGGCAAGAGTTTGCATGGCGTTGATATGCTGGGGTAGCGTCTTGTCAATGATCTGAACCAGTCGGCGGGCCAGTGTGCTCGGTCGATAGGGAGTCATCTCTTCGACATGCACAGATAGCTCAGCATCTTCTTCGACGCCGGCAAATACTTTTTCCTCAAAGTCATGAATATTGACTTCTAGCCTGGACGCCTCCTTGAGAACCATGTCCATCAATGCTACGCTGCGCTCAACAACGCCTTTGAGATCTTCATGATCTTGCGCCTCGGCTCTCTCCTCGTCGTGCCCTAACTGAAGACCTTCATCCATGAGCACTCCGAGACCGCTGGCTGTCATTTCCCTCAGCTTTCGCAGATGCGCCAGTTTGCGCCTAGCCTCAGCTCGACTTAGAGCAACGGGGGACAGCACTTTTCGCTGTATATTGGCAAATGAGTGCTCCCGAATGCTGTCTCGAACAACACCGTAGAACCTGCTCCATGGCTGCGATATGGTGGATCGTGTAGACTCGACAAGCTCGGCCGAGGCCTCTGCTGCGGACAGAGAGCGTAACCGTGACCGGCTGGCCTGGTATATTTCGTGCGACCAAGCCCACAGCCGCAAAGGGGATGTTTGTATCGTGTATACGCTGCTATAACTGTAGGAGCTCAAGACTCCGTCCCAATACCACATATCATCGCTCAGCGGAATGATGCGATCCACCAGCGTGTTGAGAATCGCTCCATAGACCTGAACCGTCGCTTTGGAGACCAAGAGCCACTCGATTTCGTTCTCATACGGCGTCTTACTTTGTGCATAAGCCCCGCCTGCGGTGCCCTCGACTCGATCCGCTATCGCAGGAATGCCTGATTCGTCGAGGAGAAGTTTTACACGTTCAAGAGAGAGGAGAGGCTGCGCGGACGAGGTGGTGCTCAGCGAACGAACGATGCGCAGCAGATGGTCGAGGTGCGGGACGTCCAGCGCCTCTGTGACGGCAAAGGGGTGTCCAACTTCCGAAACCCCATCTTCAGACGTCTCTTCGGACAGGACAGGGAGACGGTCGAGGTAGGCATCTAGTCGACGCACTTGGCTGTTGCAGAAATTAGCAGAGTCGGCATGCCGATGGCAGTAGCTCTACACTGTAGAAACTATTGGAAGGGGGGGGGGGGGGGCAAACTCACTCGGCCACCAGCGACATGGTTTAAAATTGTATGAGCCGATGAAACGATCAGTCAAGCGAACGGTCCGGGCTGTCTCGACCAGGGCTAGGTTAGGTTAACCTTGCTGAATCTGCATCGATCTGGGCTGGAGCTGGACCAGGCTGCGGGTGGAGTCGAATCCGGAGGTGCTTGGACGATAGTCACACCATCACACCACAGACAGCGTCCGGAAATTCAGCTGGCCGAGAGTAAACAGTGGGCGTGGCTGGTATTATCGATCCATCCGCGTTTTGCTGCTCTGCGAGAGGAGGAGAGGAGAGGAGGAGGTGGTTTCTGCGTGGGGCAGTTTGTGCCCGATTTTTCCTGAGCTCCAGAATATGGAATTCCGCGATTGATTGTTGGATGGCTCGTACTCGGAGCGACAACGAACAGCTCACGCTATATAGAAATAGGGGGAAATGATGAAGCTAATGTCGAGATCTTGAGATGATGGAGCGTCGGAGGAGAGAGAATGGCTGAGTAGAGTTGCCTATAGCAATTACTGTACAGGTACCTATATTTTACTGTCTTCTTGAAAGCCGCAATTGGCTGTGATGTCACTTGCGTCACTTGTATGCTTAAAGCTGATAGGCGCTATAGTGTGCTGGACCGCTGAGTGGTGGCCACCAGCAATTACTGGACTGCAACCACTGTCAAGTAACAAGCAAGGGCCCTTGATGAGATCATAGACAGCTTCAGCCGTCAACACCAAAAATCAAGGCCCAGAAACCGAAATACTACCTCTACTTAGCAGGCAATAGGTACCTGGTAGGCATTTGACAACGATACTCGTACAGTACCTACCACCTACCTAGTGATATCCAGCGTCAGGCTATTCTGCATGGAGCCCCTTTGTAGATCTGCCCCATCCAATTACCAGGTATCCCATAAAAAAGCTGCCCAAAGTGGTGTATGGCGCTCGCGTAGCCCTGCCTCTGCAGTACTCATACAGTATCAAAAAGCTACACGCGTAAAGTACCAGACTCCATTTTCTTGAAGAATTGAGAATGCCGCAAACTGTCTCAAAGGATGCCGAGCGGCGGCCGCTGCTGCACGCACATGTAAGCGGTCAGACCGAAGACAAAATAGGGTCAGCGAAGCATGCAGATCAGATCAGAGTGCAGATAGAGCTAAGCTGAGTTTGTATGCGCTCGTACAAGTATGTGCAAGAAGGAAAAGTGTGGTGTGTGTGTCGTCTATGTTAGCGAGAACGAAAGGATCAAAGTACACAATCGCCCAAATTTCAAAGGTCGTCTTACCCGATGCGAATACGAATGCGGCCCATGCAGGAACAAACCCTCCCGTTACGGCCTATCATAGCCCATCGACGCCCAACCACAGCCTATCACGCCGCTGCAATTGCGCAAGGCTGCGCGGGCCGTGGGTGGCTCCGATTCGATTCGCATTCGATACGCATCCCCAGAGAACGGAAACTCTTGTTCCCTGTGGGCTCATTACTTGGGTCCATTTTTCTTTCTTTTTGGCCACCAAATCCATCTCCTGACTAGCCGTCAGCACGGCCAATGAAAGTCTTCACGTCTTGGAACCAGCGATAAAAATCTCCCGTCTCGCCCCCACTGACAGTCCCCTAATACGCTTGTCCATCCTCAAGCTCATCTCCTTATCTACACCAGTCTCCTCTCCTTTGTTCTGGGAGTTTTCCCTTCTTTTCCATCCCCTCAGCAAGCCTGGAAGGAATCTGAACAGCATCTCTCCAATTTGGGCCGCAATCATGGACGTGGCGTAAGTGAGCCGCGCTGCAAATTGGCCCGCCAATTTTACTAACCCGCAATCTCTATACAGGAGCGCGACTTTCACCGCGTTGAACCAAACGCAGGGCTACTTCAACGTCCTCGAAGAAGTTGGCAAATACAATGTTCACCTGAACTACTTTGAGCGCCTCTGGGCTGTACGTTTTGATCCTCTGCTTTTCTTTTCTTCTCTACCCCGAAACCGAGAATAAAGACTAACTCAATGCTCTCCAGGCTTGGTACCTCTTCATGCAGAATGACACTCTGGCAACCGGCATCCTCAGCTTCGTCATGCACGAGGTCATCTACTTCGGCCGCTGCATTCCCTTCATGATCATGGACAAGATCCCCTACTTCCACAAATACAAGATTCAGTCTCAGAAGATCCCTACCCTCAAGGAACAATGGGACTGCGCCTCCATCGTCCTCATCAGCCACTTCACCGCCGAACTGCCTCAGATCTGGTTCTTCCACCCCGTCGCCACCTACTTCGGCATGGACTACGGTGTTCCATTCCCCTCGCTCTTCACCATGGCCTGGCAGATCGCCATCCTCTTCGTCTTCGAGGACACCTGGCACTACTGGTTCCACCGCGCTCTTCACTACGGTCCTCTCTACAGGAGCATCCACAAGATGCACCACCTGTACTCTGCTCCCTTTGGCTTGGCTGCTGAGTATGCTTCGCCCATTGAGACCGCTCTGCTCGGAATTGGTGTTGTTGGATCTCCCGTCGTTCTCCTTGCCATCACTGGCGAGCTTCACCTGCTCACCATGTATGTCTGGATCACCCTCCGTCTTCTCCAGGCCATCGACGCCCACAGTGGCTACGACTTCCCTTGGAGCTTGCGCCACTTCCTGCCTGTCTGGGCCGGTGCCGACCACCACGACATGCACCACGAGAAGTTCATTGGCAACTACGCTTCCAGCTTCCGCTGGTGGGACTACATGCTCGACACTGAGGCCGGTGCCGAGGCCCACAAGAGACGCCGTGAGAAGAAGTTGGCCCAGCTCAAGGCCAAGAAGGCTCAGTAAACAGCTTTGGTTCGCCCGCCTTGTTTGAACCACACTACATGGGGATGATACATTTTTTCAAACCGACAATGAAAAGGAGGCACGATTTGAGAAATACACACACTTGATGAGATGAGAAAAAAACAGAAGGATTAGATTAATAGTCAGCTATGGCCTAGCTGCGGCAGCCTCCGACATGGCAATGGCATCAACCGGCGTTGGGGGGGAGTGGCGTGAGCATGACCTTCTTTAATGTTTTGTATATATACGAACTTTGCGAACACCCTAGACATATACTTTATACAGCTCAACGTCAGTTCCATGGTTAACATTAAGCCTTTTTTTTCTGGCCTTGTGAATGATCTTCAGCCACACAGATGCAACACTACCTACCTAATAGTTAATTTACACGTACCTTAATAAAACATGCTAGTGACCCACCCACCCCTCATTATGTAAGCGAATTGGAGCTTCGTCGGAATATTTTCTTGCAATAAATTTCGCAGCCCTGGATCCATCGCTCTTTTGCTTCCCCAATGCTACCAACAGCTCCGCGCTGTTCATACAGAGCAAGGCGTGGCGGATATGGGAATGTGAAAGCGATCAGCCGTCGAGACTTCAAGTGACTCGACCATTGGCCTTTGATTCAAGGTCATAACTATCGCATCCAAGAACATCCTCACCACGCCAAATCCGCTTCTTTGATGGATATACAACCAAATTGCTTTGGCTTCTTCTCTTCTCCCGCTAAAGAGACGAATCAATGCACAGCTACAGCAACAAACAATTCGAGCATTAACCGTTTTCGTATTCATGCTACCATTACCTGCCCTGACAGCCACCGCGATACTAGCTCTGGCAACTGAGACGTTTCTCCATACGTTTTTCGGTACTCGTTCAGGGCAAAGAACAAGCTCGCGATTCCGATTAAGCCGGAGCGTCATTTGCCATCCTCTTGCCGAAAGGCGGGAGGTGCATAGTTGAGGCTTGACTTTGTGGATCCAACATTATTTCCCCAGATGAAAGCCCGTGTAAAATATAAACAAACCCATGGTGCGCCGTTGCGATAGATTTTAAAATGCCCTTCCCTTGTGCTTGGTGAATTCTCCCTTTCTTGGAAAAAAGCCTGCGATGTGCTATTCGTATTCAAACTCGTGCGTTTGTCCAGCCGCGCTCACTTCAACACCGTATGCGCGCCACGAGCAGCCAGGAACTGCTCTGCAGAGCTCTGGGGCAGTGTTCTGATCAAACCAAACACTTCCTTGTTGTGATACCGCAGTCGAGTCTTGGGGTCCAGGTAGGGCGCTGGAAGGCCCGTGATATCGCAGTAGTGCTTCGAGTGAGCTAATGAAGGAGCCGACTCGATATTTGTGTACGTCGCGTTTGGGGCCGACACCGCTCCCGCTCCCGCTCCTCCCACAGGCGGCTTCAACGTCTTCTCCAGCACGAGCTTCGACAGACTACGCGAAGCCTGCGCAAGATTTGGCGGCGGGTTTCCACTGTTGCTTGTGGCAGGCGTCGAGGTGCCGCTGGTCGAGAGGCCGTCGTCGGCGGCTGGGGTCGCATCGCCGCTGACGTCTTGTGGTGTCGCAAGGGCAGAAGCCTCTCGTTTCGACGCGTCGCCTACAATGGCCTTGAGGTTCTTGTTTCGTCGCTGGTTGGGCTTCCAATTGGGGTTGCGGAAGTTCTTGTGGATGGAGTGGATGTCGAGCTGTTCGAGCAGCTGGATATGCGCGAGCTGCGCTTCTGTTGGAGCGGCCATGGCGAGATGAGACGTGGTATATAATCCAGAGAGAAGACAATATACAAAGAAATTGAGAATGCAGTATTTGGGATGCTCGTTGGGAGAGATTATTGATGAGGCGTAGTGATCAGGCAACTGATGAAGGGATCGACAGGCCAAGGTCAGAGCCTCCTAGCCTTGGACTATTGCTTAGTCATGGGCGTGATGCTCTCGCTGAGCTCACCGAGGACATTGTAGCGCCTGAAGTACAAAGTACAGACGGAAGTGCTAAACTGAAAGCCCCTCCTGCTTGTAATTCCATTTCATCAACAATCACCATCACAGCGCTGCATAAGCAGTCTTGATATATCATGGTAAGATTATAATCTTCGTGCATGCATATGTAAATTCGCATATGCTCATTCAAGTACAGGAGAGCCCACACGAACACCAGCAGAATCTACTACTGTCGCGCATCATCACAAACGTCGTATGGCCATCTACAGGTACTTCCACTGGCACCAGGGTTTCGCTAATGAGCGCAGGAAAAATTAAATGAAGCCATTGTCGTCATGAACAAGAGCCTCCAGGTAAGAAGGAATCCCATGTGTCGTGTCCCACTGCTGTTTACTCATGCGGCGCAGGAGATTAATGTTCAAAACATGAACGTGGAGCTTGTCGCTCAGATGTTTAAGAACTACCAGTCCAATGTCCTCTTTCATCTTGAAGGTGAGTTGATATCAGAGCGCGATGATTGATTATTCTTACCACGATACTAATTGTATGCAATAGCCACGGATAACCTCAAGCCTCCTTCATAAGGTGATAATGTAAAGGTCTTTGGTGTTTACGGTATGACATTTTGCTGGTGGTTATAGAGGGAAAGCAGAGCTGCGTTCAAGATATCAACATGTGTACGATGAATATGAATTAAAAAAATGAAATAAAAAAAATCCCTCTAAATGGGAGAATATACGTTAAAGATTCTACATAAAATCGGCATTTTATCAGAGCACTTGGACAGCCCCCATTTGTGAAGGTCTTTCTTTATATGCTGCCGTGCATGTACTGCTACTTGGGCCGCCTGTCTCAAAGCCCGTGAGGCGACCGAAAGAAACGTCGACGCGCTTGCGTTTAGCGGCATGGACCCGCGCCCATGCATTTGCCGTCATCAGCCTTGCAGCCTCGCGATTATCCATTGAACCTTTTCAAGCTCGGCAGCGTCTTCAAAACCTCCAATTGGCCATCATTCGACGTCTTCCACCCATCGAAATCCGCCCACGCCCACCAGAATCTCTCACCCCAACATGGTCCCTGCCTAGACCTTGTGAGAGCTACATCCTGCACTCGTGCGATAACTCCCTTCCGACGAAATCATGTCTCCCTCTGCGATCGACGATCGAGTGCCGCAGGCGCCTCAAGAAAAGTCATATCCGCCGCCCAAGATATTCCCCGTCAAGGAAACCAAGTTTGAAAAGTTCATCGAGCCCCAGACTGACGGCCGCAAGAGAGCGCTGGAGCAGCCCGGCGGCGCTGCCATCGTGATAGATAATGGTGAGCTGTCGCACCGACTCGGAAGACCAAGGAAGGGGGGCTGACAATCTGCAGGATCCTCCGCCATTCGAGCAGGATGGTCCTTCGAGTCCGCGCCCCGGATCAACATACCGCCCATCATGGCCAAGTACCGTGATAGAAAACTTGCAAAGACCTTCTCCTTTGCCGGCTCGGACTGCTATGCTGATACGACGGCACGAGGCCATATCCGAAACGCATTCGAAGCCGGCACCGGCATTATAAGTAACTGGGATGTGGCAGAGCACGTCTTGGATTACATCTTTCTGAAGCTGGGCATGAACGATGCCAGCGGCGCCATCGATGTGCCGGTGGTCATGACAGAAGCTGTCGCAAACCTGCCTTATTCAAGAAAATGCAAGTCAAATCCAAGCTTGGATGGAAGATTGATTGCCCAGCGGCTAACTTTTTTATCTACGTATAGCGATGACCGAGATTATTTTCGAATGCTACGGCGCACCGTCCCTCGCCTACGGTATCGACTCGCTTTTCTCGTACAGGCACAACAAGGGAAAGACGGGACTTGTCGTGTCCTCCTCTCATACATCTACTCACATAATACCAGTCTACAACTCGAAAGCGCTTCTCTCGCAAGCCACAAGACTGAACTGGGGTGGCTACCATAATGCCGAGTATCTGCTGAAGCTGATTAGGTTGAAGTACCCTGCCTTTACTGGTAAACTCAACTCCTCACAAGCAGAGCACATGATTCAGGATCATTTCTATGTCTCAAAGGATTATGATGGCGAGATCCGCGATTATCTTGACTGGACAGGCTTGGAAGATCGAGACATTGTCATCCAGTATCCTTTTACAGAGGAAGTGGTCGTTCAAAAGAGCCAGGAAGAGCTGGATCGTATTGCAGAGCGCAAAAAGGAGAGCGGAAGAAGATTACAGGAGCAGGCTGCCAAGATGAGACTCGAGAAACTCATCAAGAAGGAACAAGATTTGGAATACTACAAGAACCTCCAAGGTCGGATAACCGACGAGACGAAGAAGGAAACGCGGCGGCTGCTCGACAGCCACGACATCAAAGATGAGGGCCAGCTCGAGAAGATTATCAAGGAGCTGGAGAAGTCGATCAAGAAGGCCCGTACCAAGGATGTTGGGGGCGATCCTGAAGAAGAACAGGAACAGCCGGATTTTAGTCTCTTGGACATTCCGGACGAGGAGCTCGATGAGGCACAAATAAAGCAGAAGCGACAGCAACGTCTTCTCAAATCAAATCACGAGGCTCGGGCTCGTGCCAAGGCTGAGAAGGAGGCAGAAAAGACCCGCGTCGCTGAGGCGGAGCGGCTTGACCAGGAGCGTCGTGAGAATGATCTAGATGGATGGCTTGACAAGAAGCACCAAGCCTTGCAGGACACGCTCCAGAAGATCAAGGAGCGCGATAGGCTGAAGCAGGACCTGGGCAACCGCAAGTCCCTCGCATCCCAGATCCGCATGAAGAGCATTGCCAATCTCGCATCCGACAACCCGACGAAGAAGAGGCGGCGCGGCGGCGACGACGACAACTTTGGTGCCAACGACGACGACTGGGGCGTGTATCGCCAGATTGCGGTGGGGGACAACAGCGACGAGGAGCAGGAGGAGGAGGATCTCGCTTCCACTCTGAAGACGCTAGAGCAGGATCTGCTCAAGTACGACCCCAACTTCACCTACGAAAACACCCAGGAGGCCCAGACTGTATGGTCCAAGTCTCTGCTCCACGCCTTCACCCGCGGCCCGCGACCAATCGACCCGGCGTCTCAGGCAGAGCTGCACCAGATCCATCTCAACGTCGAGCGCATCCGCGTGCCCGAGGTCGTCTTCCGGCCCTCCATCGCCGGCGTCGACCAGGCCGGCATCATCGAGATTGCGGGCGACGTCCTCACGCAGCGCCTCGGGAGCTTGCCCAACCGCGACGACTTCCTCAAGGACATCTTCCTCACGGGCGGCAACACCTTGTTCCGCAACTTTGACGACCGCGTGCGGGACGGCCTGAGGGCCCTGCTGCCGGCGGATTCGCCGCTCATGGTGCGTCGGGCTGAGGATGCGCTGCTGGATGCTTGGAAGGGCGCGGCTGGGTGGGTTGGGTCGTCGGCGTGGAAGACGGCGGCGATATCGCGGGAGGAGTATCAGGAAAAGGGAGCGGAGTACATCAAGGTGAGCTTTTTTTTTTTATCCCATCCTTTTTTGGCCCCTTTGTTTTATGTTGTTGTGGTTCTTCTCAAAGTTATTTTATACTAACCATTGTTGATATCTGCAGGAGCACGACATGGGCAACTCGTACGCGTGAAATTGTTTGGGTCGGAGAGTCATTTGATAATTTCTCATTATTCATTGTCTTGGTAGTCCTTTTTTTTTTTTTCTTTCCCCTTTTGTTCGGGTAATTTCCATCTTCAAACATCCACACCCAAAAAGTAGAAAAAAGAGACATTGTGTTTCCCACCACCATTACTTTCAGCAATCCATCCTGCATGTTATCGTAAGTAATATTGCACACACCAAAGCACTCGCCCGCCTCTACTATAAAGCTTTATGCATATCGTATCTCATAAGCAGCCATCTCCTATTTTATTTTGTCTCTTAAATCTCTTCTACATTCGGTATCTCCGCCCTCACCAGTACATCCACACAATCACTCCACAGCCCATTGATATCACGAAAAAAAAAAATCCCACACAACACAAAAACAAAGAGACAAGGAAAAGGAAAGACAAAGACAAAAAAGGAAAGGGGGTTATAAACTTGCTAAGCCGTACCAAGTTCACGCGACCGTGGAGAGGACGCGCCCTCTATAGAGACATCAAGAGGATCGAGGGACATAGACACAAAAGAAAAAAAAAATACTAAGAAAAAGAAAAGGGGGAAGATAATTGATATTAGAAACACAAAAGAGGTCTCTCCCGGAACGCCCACCCATCGATTTAACCCCCCTTCCTTATTAAGAAAAAACAAAGAGAAAATAGGAGGCAAACAAAACAAAGCTGCGTCTGGATTATATCTGCACATACAACGCAATGAGGTCCCTCAACGCCACCAACAAAACTAACCCTTAAAGGAAAGAGGAAAACACCCCAAAAGCTGGGGGGAAGAACTGACAAGCGCTTTCTTGATCACCAAGAGAGTTTTCAAAAACAGCCTCGGGTATTCCATTCCTAGGGCTGGCCGGGCCGTTCGTCGGGGTTCAATGGCCTGTTCAAGTCATCTGCCGTGGGCCGAGGGTTGTTATCCTGCTCGCCAGGCTGGTCAGTCTTAAAAGGCGGGCTGGGGTATGTTTGCGACCGCTCGACCATCTGCTCCTGGGCAGCCAGGCCAGCGACAGCCTGGGCAACGGCCTCGAGAGGGGTGCCAACGCCGGAGTTGCTGCTGTTGGAAGCCTGCGGCGGCGGAGGCGGCTGGTGGTGCTGCTGATGCTGTTGGTGGTGCTGCTCAGTGACGCTAGGTGGAGGAGGCGCGCCAGCTGCCGGCTGCGAGAGATTGACGTTGGGAGGGGGCGGAGGGAATTCGCCCTGGGTGTCAAGCAGTCGAGACTGGAGGTGGATCACATATTCGCGGAGCGCGTAGTTTTCGGATTGCATCGACTTGTACGAGTGCTCCAAGTCGGCCAGGTCGCGAACCTGCTGCTCCAGTTTCTTAATGTAGCCCTCCTTGCGCTGTCTGAACGCTCTCTGTAGGAACAACACTAGTCAGCAATTGTGACGCCATTGATGTCAACCGGGCATGTTTCGGGCTCAACCCAAGCGCTGGCGGATAGCTCATCTATGCTGAGACGCGATGGCAATGCGCAATGGCTTGACGCAAGTCATGCGAATCAATCCGGGCGTTGCCGGCGTCGCCTCCTCTGCTGACCAATACACCATTGTCCAGCAACAGCCAAACAGCGCCAACGCCATCACCAGCGAATTGGAAAGAGGGCCAAAGGCAAAAATCAAACAAACTCACCTGTGCAGCTCTGTTCTGGGCGGCGCGCTTGGATTGCGACAGCTCGCGCTTCGCCTTGCGGCCGTCAGCGGGATTGGAGTCGTCGACAGTCATCTGCTGCGGCGGCGCGGGGGCCAGCGGCACAGCCGAAGGTCCAGGACCGGCAGGACCAGGGCTGTGGCCAGCGGGGGGCACCATGGGCATCATGTTGGCAGCGGGCGCGTGGCCGACAGAAGCTCGAAGATCGGGGTGGATGTGCGCTTCAGCGTCTAGCTTGGCGTGAGGGCGGGAGACGTCTTGAGGCGCCAGGACGTCGTATCCATTCGGCGGCCGCGACGGAGCTCGGGGATCGCGCGCGCTCGGGTTAGGCGAGGCGGACGAGGCAGCGGAATCGTGGTTTTGGAGGAGCTCGAGCTGTGCGCGCAGGTGCTGTTCTGTCGAGCCAGCGTCTGTTAGTTCAGCGGTCATGAGGCGGCGTCCCAGCAAGGGCGACGGCGTTGAAGACGGGAGACAAAAGCAAAGGAAGAGTGCCGACGAGGGGTTCAATGGGATGGCAATCGAGGCGAATGGACAAGGGGGAAGCGATTAGGGCATGTGGTGATGTGGAGCGGAGCGAATCGTGGTGTCGTGTGGTTGTTGTTTTCAGAGCCGCGGATCCTGGGGCAATGGCAAAGGAGTACGAGTATACGGACCGTCGGCGTCCGTGTCGCGCGCCAAACGGCGTTTATGAGACGGTGTAGGATTTATAAACCCCGGAGAGGTTTGCCAGCCAAGCTGAAGGCAGCCGGCGGGTTTTGCAGGTGTTGAGGGGACGAGGCCGAGACAAGCAGCCGCACCGGTGGTGATGCTGGCGATGCTGCTGTTGCTGCTGGTGCCGATGCCGATGCTAGTGGGAGCAGTGCCCTTTTGCAGCAACGCCAAGCAGAAGCGCAAGCACAAGTACAAGCACACGCACAATCGGAAGCAGAACCAGGCAGGGCAGGGCCGGGACAGGGAAAGAATAAGACGAGGCCAGAGGCAGCTCAAGTCAAAGTCGAAGCGGAAAATGGGAGCAAAGCAAAGCAAAGCAAAGGAGAAAGAGAGAAAAGAGACTGGACTGCTAACTAACCTTGCGTGTTTGCGCCGTTGGCGGGAGAGCTCTGCATTGCTCGAGGACTCTGACTCAGCATCCGGGACGATTAAAGAGCGAGAAGAGGCAGGTTGAGCTTCGCAGATTTTTGATGACTACTCAGAGGGGGGCAGAATTGCTGACGTGAAACATGGAAAAACCAAGTGCTCTTGGAACTGGATGCGACGGGATTATGTAACGGCGGCGTGGCGGGATTCCCTGGGAAAATGGCGTGGCTGGCGGGCTTGTGCTCCGAGGCTCCGTACAGTACGGACTTTTTCTGTCTTGTTTCTCTCTTCTTTTTTTTTGCTGCAGCTTCTCCAGTTTCGCCTTTTTGCTCTGCGGTCTGTTTTTTGCTTGGGTTGTGCACGCACGAGTGAATGGGGCTTGGTGATGACTGATCGGATTCCGGGACACGGAAAGGTTGGGTAATACCCAGGTAGTAATTGAGGAGTGCTGGTTGGCACTAGCGGGAAGAGACGTGACTGAGCATCAAATGTCCGGAGAACCGATGCAGGCAAGGCAAGGCATGGGGCCAGCAAGTACCAAAGGTTGCTGCCTGTGGTCGCGTTGCTCTGCAATCAAGATGGAGGGGTACTTGCGGCTACTTGAGGGCTCTCAGCAGCGGCTCAACAGAGACTTGCATGGGCTGCAGAGTTCCCACGGCAAGCCACGTACCCCGACCCCCTTGCAACTACTCCTTCGCATCACTGCCAGGTCGCCGCCGTGTACTCGGCCGTATTATCTTAGCACTGCGCCGGGTATCAGTTGCGGGAGTGATACATGGCTGTCCTGTACTGTGCTGTGCTGTTCCGTAACGCCGTACCATGGCTGCCGCATTACCATTACGAGTACGTGAGTACTTTGGTCCTCCACAGTAAGGCAATGGTGCTTCTGGCACACACATCCCGTAAGCCGTATTAGAGCCAGTGGCACGGTACGGTGTAATATTGACGGCTCGGTACTACTAAATGTCCACTGCAGGATGAGTTGTATCCGGTAATGTCTAGTGCCTACGTATCTATGTACTATCTATGTACAGTACGGAGTACACCTTGACCTTTTCTTTCCCAGTCAGCATAGCACAGCACACAGCACAGCACACATCACCGAACCGCCGAGGCAAAGACCACAAACGCGTCTCTCCTCACTTGGTACCTCAACAACAACAACAAACACTACTCGTACAGGTCAACAACTATTACCAACTACTAACTCCTACTGTACAGCACTAGCAAATCAGCCACGTCGGCAGCCGCCTCTTCTTTTGTTTTGTCAACGCCTGCGGGCGCCTCGGCCTTGACAGAACCCGGCATCGAAGCCGACACCTGCATCACGTCAAACCTCGGGTTTGTCAGCAGTGCTCAGGATTAGCCCCATCAGGACTAGCGAGATTAGTCATGTTTGATAAGAAGTGGATTCTCTTCGCTGTCGGATAAATGGGGCCTCGTTCGCTTTATTCCTCCGGAAGCGGTAAACGCTTGCTCCAGTTTTTCAGTACCGCTCCAGTACGGGGCAGCCCAGCGCAAACTCCGCCACCTTGATGTATACGAAGGTAGTCGCGCAGGAGGGCAGAACACAGTGCCAGCATTGTGCCGCATACGATGCCGCACACACAGTGCATATTGGATGCCTGTTTGCACAGTCAGCAGCCTTCTTCCGATTTCTTCTTCTTCACCAATACGAGTCACGATTCCTCCTCGGGAGGGGTGTCTGGTAGGTGGCACTGATTCGTCCACGGCCCATGTTCCTTTTTTGCTTTTTTACGTGATGACATGGCCCGCGGCGACTGGCATGGGGGACACAAGCTGGAATGAGGAGCTTATTTCCGAGCCTGGGCAAGGCACCACTGGCCGCTGAGCAAAGACGAAGAGAAAAGGCAAACAGCTTCGAGCGGACCGCGTCAAAGCTCTTTGAATGGGCCTCCGCGTCTCGCTTTACTGCTTACCTATTCTCGACTACTGATGCTCACCCACGTAGTCAAAACAAACGCGCCCTTGATCACTAATACAAGCACCCTCAATGCTCTCGAGCCCCCGTACTCGCACAAAGCAGACTACTGTACTCCGTAGCCACAGTTAGGGCCGTGATTACTCGTCCAGACACCAGACAAGGCAATGGTGTGGACTCTGTCGCCTCTGGCCGGCCCCAGTTCAGATCGAGAACTGGTCCGCTTGAGACAATCTTGGCCTCCCAACGATGCCAGAGTTGTACTACACCAAGCATGTATGGATGGAGTGCGAGTCGAGTGTGTTGCTGGCAAAGTCAGTCAGAGGCCCGTCAAACGCCGCTACCCCGACCCTACGTGCTTCGTGCTCCTCAAGTGAGGAACAAGGACCTCGGATGTTTCCAAATTACGCCAGTGCTGGTCCAACGCATTGGGCTATACTCCGTATCTGCGCTCTCGACGTGTGCTTGTACGGAGTCCTTACAAGTAGTAAGCTCAAAAATTGCCCCATCAGGCATTAGCTCGGCCTTTGATTACATAGTTGCATTCATTTATGCTTGTGTGATCCAGCCAGTCCACTCTGACTCGGCAGGCTGACAGCTATGTGGTTGCTATCTCCGGCCAAGGTCCTTCGGCAAGTCCCGTTTTGCCGGATCTCTCTCGGGAAACTGTGGTCTCGATACGGAATAGCCTCCTCCTCGGTGACTTTTGGTTATACGTAGTAGATACGATGTCTACCTACATGTACTGGCCACGCGACTCCATCAATCGACGCGGATCTGATAGCAATCCGCAATTTCTATGTGGAAAATCCCAATCTTCATGAGCGGCAATTGTATGTATTCGCACACAGCTAACTAACCAATGGTCTCCGATGCAAAGCAGCATAGGGATTAGAGTCGAGCTTTGCATTGACATGTTCTCCTACAAGTTTCATCTTCCAACAAGTGGGCAACTTTTCGCGAGGCGTAATGTCAAACACGGCTATCCAATTGCATGACAGCAAGCCTTTACACGCCGGAAATAGCACACATAACAATCAGTCGAGCGTTGATTTACAAGCATTCGAAGTAAATAATGGTCAACTCATATCTTATGAAGCAGTTGAGCAGACGTCTAAGTCGACATCTTTGGCCGGCTCTTGAACAATTTGCCGCCCTTCCATACGTGCGTTATGTTGTTGGTGTTTGTCAAGACTCGGACATCATCCAGCGGGTTCGCAGCAACGGCGATTATATCGGCATCATATCCCACCTTTAGCTGCCCGCTCAAGGGCGCCATTCCTCCCAGTGTCTCCGGTCCATTCGCTGTTGCACACTCAATCGCTTGAAGTGGTGTCATACCCAGCTCTACCGCGTACACGAGCTCGTGCGCATTGTTGCCGTGGGAGAGGGCAGATGTCCTGGCGCTACTGGTCATGTCGGTTCCTAGAGCAACTTTGACTCCTTTCTTAATGGCCAATCTATATGCGTCCTTGGACTTGTCATAGATGCCAAGGAGCTTGCGTTTGACCGGAGGAGGCAGCTGATCACTGTAGTCTCGAGCCAGAATGCGGACAATGTGCTGCGTAGGAACGAAAATGGCATCTTTCTCGAGCATGAGGTCAGCCACCTCCTCGTCCATGTACATGCCATGCTCGATGGACTTGACACCAGCTCGGAGTGCAGCCAGAATACCGGCTTTGCCTATGGCATGAGCGGCTACCGCCCGTCGGCTTCGAGCCGCCTCTTCGACCATGGCCTTGAGCTCCTCGTCCGAGAACTGGCGGTCCTCCGGGTCATCGTTGAGACTTCCGACACCTCCGCTGGAGCAGACCTTGATGCAACGGGCGCCTCGTCGTACCATCTTTCGAACCGTCTTGACGCAGTCGTCAACACCATCACATACACCAATAGGACTGCCGCCGCAGTTCATGGCAGCCATGACAGTGCTGATGGGCGAGGCGTGGTCATCGCCATGGCCGCCCGTGATGGACAGCGGAGCAATTGCTGAATAGATGTTGGGGCCGATGAGGGGGCCGTTTTCCACGGCAGGCCACAGATCTCCTCCGTATCCGCCCAGCTCTCGCACCGATGTGTAGCCCGCCATCAGCGTCGTCTTCAGATCATCAACCGTGACGGCGCCGCCCAAGGCATTGTAACCTGGGAGATACATGCTGAGTGAGCTCAGGCCTCCAATGACGTCCAGCCCTGTGAAGTGAACGTGGCAGTCCCACAGGCCCGGCATCAGAACGGGAACTTGCCTTGGCGCGATATTCGAATACTTGGTTGGGATATTAAAATGGCTGCCGATCCAATCGATCTTGCTACCTTTAATGGCAAGCGCTCCATTGTAAATGGGCTCTCCGCGGCCGGGGATTAGCAGCGCCGCTATGATTAGGGACAACGTCTCGCTGTCCTCGACTGGAGGCTCCGAAGCAATGTGTGAGGAGGAGAGAGGGGGTTGGATAGGGACGCGCATTCTGACAGCAGCTCGGGACGATTATCCGGCAATTTGACTGTAGAAATACGAGAATACGAGAAAGTGCTGAGCCAAACCAATTCGACAGATAGCAGTATACAGAAAGGCAAAGGAACGATGACTACATTTGACGGTGACAGGTTGCAAGACGTCCTTTTATAGCTTCTTTGCCTTAATCACAACCCGGTTCCAGCACCCGCACCGCGTGGCTGGGGAAATCCTACAAAAGGAGTATCAATGACATGGAGATACATGGAAATGTGATTTAGGCGCACTCACTTACCCGAACAGGATCTTGGCTAAATGCAATCCTACAAAAGATCTTTTGAGGCACCGTTAGCTAGAGGTTGTGGAGCGGGTTTTGCATGTACAGGGGCCGAATACCGATATCAGCTGTTGATGCGGGGATTCAAGATGATCGATATTTAGTATCTATACATACCGAGAGATTGTCAGATGGTTGAATAGAGCAATGGATATCAGTGGGCAGAAATTAAATAGAAGAATGTTTGAGGCTTTGATGTCATTTACACAATAGAGCGAGAGCCTATCGTCGCATACCCTGGAGTGAGCTTAAAAAAATAGCCGTGCATTAGTTGAGCCGAATCCCAGCTAAACAGCTCTCAACCAAAACCTACATAATCCATCACAAACACCAAAATCTCATTCCATCAATTTACTTAGAAAGAAAGAAATGTCCCGCTCTAAATTTTCATCCCTGCTCATCTCCTACAAGAACATTTCCCTCGCCAGCTGCAGCTCCAGCATCAGACATTCTAGATTCATGTCCTCTCAATCTCCCAAGCTTGACCAGCTGCTTGTGTCGAATGGCGGCAGGTGGACGTTGACGGCGAATGGAGAGGCTTTGGAGCGGAGTTTTAAGTTTAAGAACTTCGGCAAGACGTGGGTGTGTATACGGTTGGATTCCAGGACTTTTGGGCATTTGCTGATGATGAGCTTTGTGAAGGACTTTATGACGGCTGTTTCGCTGCAGTGCAAGATCTGGAATCATCATCCTGAGTGGTCTAATGTGAGTATTCCGCATGATTCACATACAATGACTAAAGAAACAACGAGTGATATGATAAGGGTATATGAAGAATTAACTATCTACAGGTCTATAATACGACATTCATCCGCTGGACAACGCATGTGCCCAAGGGCCTCTCAGACAAAGACATCAGCTTAGCCACTCTCTGCGATTCCCTGGCTAAGGATTTTGGCGAACTGGAGCCGGAGCCATCAAGCTGCGAGATGAAAGATTTGGCAGATGAGGTTATCAAGGATGGGAATTGCTGCGTAAAGAAATAGAGCTTTTGGGGGCGATGGTGGCGAAAAGTAATATTTGTGGTAATAGAGATGGTATGAAAAGCCAATTGAATCATTTCCGATTTTTCTTCGGTTTCCAGAGGTTCCCTGAGTATTGAAGCTTTTGAACCGTGGGTGAGTCAGATGTCGTTTCAGAGACATTTGGAACTGTCTGCGCTGAGTCGAGTTCAATCTATTTCGCTGGGACTCTTGTCTCTCTTCTGTGTCTTCTGTATGACCACTGGCCTGTATACGTACATAAAGTACTCGATGTGTGTTGACGAAACGTCGACGGTGAAGTCATGCCTGGGTCTAGGGTGACTGTGTCTCCAGATCACTACATAATGTATCGATAGGTTGCCCTGAGGTGCTGGACGAGGCCGTTCGGCCCCATCATGTCGGGCACAAATATTCCAATCGACAAAGGCTGGCCGGATGACTGCTTCCACAAGACTGAAGCAGTGAACGCTTCTCCCGAGGTCCATAATGGCGGTCCAGCCATCGCAGTGCTGTTAAAGGCTACCCTCTGCGAGTGTCGAGACTTCTGCGTCAATGCTGAATGGCAGATCCAGCGGGGAGATGGTCGATATGAACCCGCGTCATGCAGCCTCTTTTCTCGCCACCGTATCCAAATGGCGGTATTTTAAAGCACATCATTCTCAAGCATAATGTCAACGCCAGCGGAATGTTGGTCGTATAAATGGTCTCAAGCTGCTGCAGAGCATTGTAATTCCACGGCTGGGTAGGTTTCCTTACTTTATGCTCTAAACATTGAGATAAGTGGCGATTTTGCAACTTCTGCGGGAGAGTATATATGACTTGGGCTTGCTGTGTATAGGAGTCTTGTTTCACCTTTTGGCACCTGTAGGTCGACTGCTTTCCGTGAATCTGTCAGGATGCCCAAGAAATAGACACAAGAACCCATGGCATTTTCGCATGGCTTTCGGGAGGAATTCAACACAGCTGTTCTTGATAATGAGTACCTTGGTCCTTGAGGTCTTTGCCGAAGGCTCTGTAGTTCCTGCATCGAAACATCTCAATTCGTAAAAGCACGAATGAATTCCCCAAGCGCTTGCCTCGGCTCGAATGAAATCCTTCTAGCGCCTTCATACTCCCGATGGGACTCAAAGAATTGTTTAAAGGTGAATATCAAGAGACTTGAGTGGGCCCGGATTGACAACGTTGTTGCTTTTGTAATTTGTCACTTCGAATGCTGAGTGAGTGATATTCGCAACTGCAAGATTTTAGTGAGCCTGGAAAGACTAGGATTGGTTTGATCTGAAGTTTCGTTCCATCTGAAGTGTCGATTGGGAGGCACTGTGGGCAGCCTTTTCGATAACAGAGATATACCTCACACCATTGTGGCAAGTCCCATACCATCCAAAGTCAGATTGTATTTTCGTATAATTATCATGGCTCTAATGTCTTGAGGGCACAGGTGAGTGCTTTGAGCCGATGTACTTGGGTGATCAAGACGCTCCAGTTTGGGTTCAAGAAGTCGGAATGGGATTCATTGTCATCAAAGCTGACTCATTTCCCACACCGGGCCCTGGTGATCATGAAAGGAGCTTTTAAAAGGTTGTACCACTTGACGGCGCCGTTTTGCTTTAGTCGGTTTAATCGGCCGTGGATCTGCAAAGTGGTCTTTGGATTGAAGTGATTGCTTGCCGTAATACCAATACGGCAAGCGTCGTGTAGATTCACTCCAGTACTCATGATGTTTATGTTCGCAATGAACTACTGAGCTTCCGATGTGGCATCAGAAAAGAGGCGTACGGCTTCGACCTCTGCTCCTGGCATATCGGTTGAGCGCACAGTCAATATGTGGAAACCGGCCATCTTCATCGAAACATACATTAGTCTGCGAGCCAATTAGTAAACACAACCCCGAATAAAATAGCATCCATTCGTACCGTAGCTTGTCTTAATGTCTGTGATATAGGGGCAGCCGCATGCCCACTCATGAACATTTCCTTATGCACGACTATTGTCCGAAAGGGCGAAAACTGATCTGACGTGCACCTCGAAAGCTTCTCTTTCGATAGTTGGTAGGCATTGATCGCGATACTCTCCCACAATTGCCATAGGGCCAAACTGCTTTATGTCTCCGATGAACAGAGCCGAAAAATTGGGAGGTTGAGCAAAGGGCACCAGCCCTCATATTCTGCAGGGTTTCAACTCCATTGTTGGCTGTAGCCGATAATTTGGAAAATGAACATGGAACACCTCGGGGGCGTCATTAGAGTCTGATGACGTTTCTATCTGCATTACATCCGTCTCTGCCGTGCTGGAGAAGACTCTTAAAGACCTCGTACTTGGTGGGCGATGTATCCAGGAATGTTTTTGGGCACTATCAAAATTAGCTTTTGTCTTCAACTTCCGGTATGAATGGGATCGGATGCCAATCAAGACTGTCAAAGACCAAAGGTAACTCACGCTCATTTATTGCAATCTCAGGTGTGCAGTCATCTTCGATTCTACTTGTCAGGGTGTCGAGAACCCAGTCTTTCAGTTCAACTAGGCATAACCCAGCTTCCTCTTCCTCGTAATTTCTCCTCCACACTGCGCGAAATCTTCATCCAGATCATGGGGCGACCCAAGCTCTTGGTTTCGGAGGTCACCTGAAACCTCAATACCTTCGCCCAAGAGGTCCTTTAGCTCTCTTCCCCCAGCTGTCTCATCATGCTATCCGCTGCAGTAATCGTAGGTCGTTATAATAGTTCATAATTGATTGAGGGTTCTCCTTTCCCAAAAGAACACGTAAGTGTTTTTATTCTCCTTTGTCTTCCATGGCGAACTCGTGGCGAAGACCCAGGATGTGGCCAATTTCGTGAGCCAAGATATTGGGCTAGCGTAAACTGCTGGGAGATGAAGAGACGTAATGTCTACCCGTTGAATAGTGTGTTGGGATTCGTAATGCATTTACTATTTACTGGCCAGCTCTCTCCATGGTAGGGCTATTAGGGCCATCAGCTTCGGAGGAGTGCCATCAGTTTCAGGAAGGATTTGACTCCTATTAGCGCATGGTATGACCAACCCCCCAGGTCAGCTGCTACAGCTTATACCCACAAGCCGTACTTTGGAGTTTTGGGAGTTATAGAGGAGATGCAGCTTTGTGGCGTTGTGATAGAGGTGCAGCAGCAAATTCCTTGATCGTTAACCACGAAATTGGCTGAGCTCAGCCAGCAGAATGGCCTGTGTGCGCATATAGATGAGCTACTGAGTTTCGATTAGATTCAAATGACTGCTGTACAAATAGTTTGTGTTGAGGTCTGCGTTGGTCTCCAAATGTCGCTTCTGAATATCTCGTAGTTTTGTCAAGATCTATTTTAACGACCGGGCTGCAAATTGTGGAATTCCAGTCACAAGAACCCTTCTAACACATTCTTTCTTCTGAGCTGAGATGAAAGTGAAAACGGATCTGCCGCTGGGCTGCGATCTTGGAAGACGGCCTGGGCTTGCTTGTTCGCCATGGCCACGAGCTGCTGTTTGGTGCAAAATGGGTTGATGCTGAGGAGAGTAGTCTGTGCAATTCGGGTTGCTTGAACATGCCTAGCTCCGCGTCCCCAAGAGTGAATGAGAAAAATTACTCTGTCAGGCATCAAGGCCTTCATGCGACGTACGGCGTCGTCGATCTGCGCGTTCTGGGGGGTAGTCCAGACGACCATGGCTTCATCTGAAATGTTAAAAATGGGTGTATTCAGGAACAGGACGTGCTGCTGTCCTCGAATTTGTACCAAAGCCACCTTGGGTAGATCCGTGAACTGCGTCCAGTCATTTGAGGATTTTTCTGTCTCCAAAGCCTTCAAAATGTGTGTTATTGAGTCCATATAAGATTGTGGGATTTCTAGTGTTTATAACAACCGAAAGTCGTCATTTAGTGAGAAACTGGGCGCTATACGATGTCTACTCTTGGCCTTGGACTTGCTGTCTGAGTCTCCAGAGTATATAGGTGAGACTTGTCATCCTTGTAGATGACAAAGTCGAGGTCTTTGTTGAGTGTGTCCCGAGATGATACTTGCTCAACGTTGGTAGATTGAAAGTTAAGCTCGCCATCTGTAATGTAGAGGAATTATCCTTGGAAAAGTCAGTCTTGGCTAGTAACTAATTTGATGACCAGATCACGTCGAAATTCTAACTGGACGAACTGCCAGCTCATTCTACATGCATTGACAAGGGGATGTAAGATGAATCATACTTACTGCTGGATCCATGGTGTGTCAACAAAAATGACAACTCTTTACCCTGTAAGTGTTCGAGTTTCATTAAGAATGACGAACGTCTCAAAATCAGGTGTCCAGCATATATTGGTTTCTCCATCTGAGATCGCGTAAACAGAAGCCTGAGAGAAACACCTTGGAATGCCATCCCAGTGCCATGGCTAGGCCTGCCTCAGGGGTGGTGCACAGCTTTTCTATGTATTGAATTGGTCGGGTCTGGGTCCATACGTTGTGTATCGCCATCTCTGTCATTCATCTTGATCCAGGCAATGGAAAAAGCATCCCACGCCTTGTCGGTATCTCTGCCGCTATTCGTGCATGTAATTGCATATAAAAGAATACTCGTGGCCATTTTTGATGGCTTCGGTCGGTATTATGGTTTGTAGCTCCTTTCTCAACCAGCTTGCTTGGTCTCAACCGATAAGCTTCCGAGCAAAACGGATAGGCGACTGTTTGCGAAACCGCTCTGTGAGAGAGAGAGGTATCACCCTGGTGAGGTGGTGTGTGAGGCTCGTTGTTCAACTCTGCGTCTGCGCGAGGTGGTTCCCACCCTCAGGTTGTATATCTCCCCGCTCATCCATTACTAGGTTGATGTAGACTACTGAAAGCGACACGCTGCGCTCAAAATCAAGTGTGAGTCGCTGGCAGCGGTAGAGACTGAGAGAACTTTGGGAGCTGCGTCCAGTGTTCTCATAATAAATTCGTCCACAATGTCTGGCGTGAACAATATTCTGACGGACATTATGCGTTTGCTCGAGCTGCTCGAGGTGACCCATTTCTTGCAAGACAATGGCTACGTCAGAAGGACTTGGTTTGTAGGGTTTGGTACACAATGCCATCATCGTTTCTTGTCGTCGGTATAGAAAAGTGCTCGTGGGCACCTGCAAAGGTTCCGACTGGTGCTGTGGTTTGTCCACGGAATTCATCAATTCATCTCAATATACGGTCGTTGCAATCAAAGGCCTGTGCTGTAGGGAGTTGAGACAGAAAAGGTGCGAGGTTGGCCGTAATTGCATAGACAAGTCATGACTGATTCGTTGTGTGCGATGCTTGCGATTCCTCTTTGCCACGCACCAGGTGGATGCATGACACCGCTACAATTGAATGAATGTCGAAGTTTCTAGTCTCTCCAACATAGAACGTAGCTTGGCACTAATATAGTTCGTTTGATTGAATGAATTTGGGAGCCTTTGAGGCAGGCTTTGATAGCGTGTAGATCCGTTGGCGCCCTGAACTCGTTCGAGTAATCTTGTGGCCAGTGTATGTTCCATATTCGTAGGGTTCCTCTCTGGACAAGTTAGTTAGCAGCTGAGATTTCATGGTATTGTAAAGTCAATCCTACTTGTTGAACTTGTAAAGCAGTGTTCTATTTGTATAGGTCACTTGTGAGGTTGCATGTTCTGCCTTGAAGGACACGAGTCCTCAACCACGGCTGCCATGGTGGCAGACACATATCGCTGCTTTTGGCGGGGCGTGTAAAGGTAACAATGCCTCGGTTGAAGAGCCGGCAAATCATAGGTTCGTAAGAGATACGACGGCCATTCTGTAATCTCACAAACTGGCCTTGCGTCCGTTTGAAGCGTAGCTAATCGACAGAGATGATGTCTGATGATTGACCAAGGAAAATAGTATCCAGATTGCTGACATAGCTGTAACTCTTACAAGTCTGCTCTCTCAGGGTATCCTGTGATGTGAAAGGCAGATGTTGGGAATTGAGCGATATTCCATATAAAAGCAAGAACGAATTGGTGAAGTTGGGTTCGTAGAGTTGTGCTTGATGGTAAGAAAAGAAGACAAAGATGAGGGAGGGTCATTGTGCGACCACCAAAACTCCACATCGAACGAGGGCAGAACACAGTTGCCAAGTTGCTTATGCCACAATATCTCGACGGTCTCAGCCAATGTCAGGAGAAATGGTATCTGAAATGATGCGTCATGAGCATAGTATCTTGGGCATTGGAGGAGCGCAGTTAAGACGGACAATGAAACCCACCCTACATTCTCGTGTGAGAGTTTGCCAGATATAAAGACGGGCGCGTCTCTGGACTCTACTCTCTCAGTGTCGTTTGTGTTGGGCGACCAAAGAACGTTGGTAAACGGCTCTCCCTCCAAGATAGGCAAACTGTTGTTATTATATAGACGATTAATTAGAACATTTTGCGATGTATAGACTAAGATGGAGTCTTCGGTCTTGATCTCGGTCTATGCCATGATGTCCGCCAGCACATCGGTCTCAACTTCCCATTTTAGGTCTCCTGGGAAGCCGATTGGGCAGTAATCGTCGCGGGTGCTCTTATAGACACCATTGTTTTGTGGTGTTCGCGACAAAAGTGATTTGTAGTCGAGATCTGTGCGATTTGGACTTAGCTTCCGAGTGCCCGTCATCAATCTGCTTGTGTTGCACGGAGAGGTGGGCTTATACAAACCATCAAGCGTACTTCAAAGAAGAGTGTCAATGTTTCACCTCTCTTTTGAGACTGGGAATGGACGGCCATCTAATAAATACGGTGATCAGTCGGCAGGGTCGTGATGGAAGCGTTGAATGAGAATTGATGGAAGGACTTACAGAAGTTCTCGTGTATATTGGGAGCGAATCCAAAGAAATTCATTCTCAATGGCCTTGTAGAGAGGACTTGAGTCCCATTGTGATGCATATTTTGTAATAATCTGTAAAATGGAGTGATAATATAAAGCCGTATTTACTCGAGAGGGATTTGGAATGGGGATACTAGGGGTATTAAATAGATCTTTTCAGCACATCTTGTTGAGTGAAAAGATTGAGTGAATTGACACAAATCCAACAGGTGCTGTGGCTGCCCGTGACTAGTAAGCAGCGTCTGGTTTGTTGCATCTCGTGTGTTGTCCCGGCTCAATACGCCAATGAGATGTATCGTTTTGGTGAAGTCTCCCATGTTTTAGCGGCTTCTACTGGTGGTCATGGACGGAAAAAAACATAAATCATTGACCGCCAGATTGACCGCCGGTCAATTGCAGAGTTGTGTCAACTAATTCATCACTTGGTGTCATGAAACGGGCGTTTAGTGATGAGAGTAGGCAGATTTGTTGTGTACACCATGCCCCTATCCGCGGTCACTTGAGTCTACAATAGCATTACTCATGATGAGCTCCCGAGATGTGTTGGGATTAATATATTATTCATGCGAGAAGGCTAGCAACTGGTGTGTTTGTTGGGGCACTGCTCTCTTGTGGTCTATCAGGCAGGCACTGGACAACGTAGAAGTCGAACGAGATGCAGCAGACTTCTGCAAAGCTTCCTGGTCAGGTGATTTGATATGAGGATGCATGATGGCGCAAGTAGAACTAGAAGCTTGCAACTGTCTGTATTTTGAAAACTGTCACTAGGTAAGTGTTAGTGATGTTGGCGTGGTGTGAAGCGCCTCCTTGAGCACATGAGCTCATCATCCAACCATGATCTGTCGAGAAAGAAGAGGATTCTTTTCGTCTCAGTGATGAGATTATAGAGACGAAGCATCGAGGTAACAATAGCAGTCTCAAATGCAACCGACATCTCCTCTGAAACCCCCCTTTGTCTGTCTGATACCCTCGCCAAGACTCTTTGTTTGACACACCAAGCTATACATCTTGGCAGTGAAATGCTAGACACAACAAGTGCGTGCAACGGTCGTGATGATTCGATTCTCGAGGCATCTCATAATGACGCATCTGCCTCATCACGAGTCCATCTTTACTGAAACCAACACAATAACTTCAATCATATAGCAGCGTCTTCCCTCACCAAATAAGCAGCGTGACATCGAGGAATCGCTGCCCGCGCAGGTACCTTCCGAAGACCCTTGCGCTAAGCCTAATGCGCGATAAGGTGAGAGACAGCCCCCCAATCGCGTTCCGCCATGGTGTCCTAAGACAAGGGAAGCTTCATCTCCTAATTTCTGGTAAATCCAGGTGAATCTGTACTGCCGCCGCTATCTTTGACCTCTTCATCTCTTCGACGAACTAATACCGCGCCGTCTGTCCCGTCCTTTCGACCCCGAGGCTTTGTCGCGACAACTCAGAAACCGCATACGATATCATATTTTATTTCACAAGGAGGGGAATAACATCAGCTTGCCAAGATGTCCATGTGGCTCTCTGATAACCAGAGTATGTACCCTGCAGAAGACCTCACGCGAGCTCTGGTTGTCCCATGTAGTGATCCGATGGCATGCTGACTCGTGTAATAGAGATTGGGGTGGTTTTCTGCTCTGGCGGTAGGTATGCGACCTGTCTATAGCACAAGCTTCGACGCATCAGGGCGCTTTGATCTGACGAGATCGCTTTGCTTCAGGTGGTCTCTTCCTCATCGGTGGAGTGATGCTATTCTTTGATCGCGCTATGTGAGTTGCCTTTCCCGAGCGCTTTATTACGCAGTATGCTGGAGGCGTTTCATCTGGCTAACACCGTCTTTGCAGGCTTGCGATGGGAAATGTACAGTCTCTCTCCTCTCTACTCCGTTTGCGAACCGACGACCGAGCTGACAAGTCCTCCGTTAATGAATAGATCCTCTTCCTCATCGGCTTGACGATAATCATCGGTCCTCAAAAAACATTCTTCTTCTTCGCCCGGAAACAGAAAGCAAAAGGCACAGCCGCATTCTTTGCAGGCCTCACGCTGATATTGATAAAATGGACCTTTATCGGCTTCATAGTAGAAGCGTATGGAATCGCCATATTATTTGGTGATTTCTTGGGCACGATTGCAGGATTCGCCCGAGGCTTGCCTGTGATCGGGCCCTACATCGGCATTCTCGCAGATCGGATAGGTCTGGGCCGCCGCAACGCCGAGCTGCCCGTCTAATATCCACGTGCGCTTTTGCTCCGATGACAGCTGCCATGTCATGATCTGGTTGTACGTTGAAATGCTGGAGAATCCGAGGATGGGGTGATGATAGCGAAGATGCTCAAGGGCTGGTAATAACTTAGCTCGTGTGAGCAGCGACATCGGCGTTTGTGGCGTTAACTGAACAGCGGCTTTCAGGGAGACTGAACGATGTAACAATACTGATGGAATGTAAAATATATGTATCAGCCTAGGCCTAGGCTTAGGTAGGATGTTTATGATACAAGCTGATTAGCGATAGCTGATAGCCAACATGAAGAATCACTTTGAACCAGCTTGGTATAGGCAAGATTAATTCTGACGTCAAGGGGCAACGCAAGTTGGTTAGGAGAGCCATTTTGTGATGAGACTTGAAAATGCTGATTTTTTTGTCTGTGTCGAGAAGATGTCTCTATCCTCCCAAACTATGGCAGTTAAGTTGCGAATATTCCCACAGAAACTCCCCCATCCCCCCCTATATCATCCAACGCTCTGGTACTACTGCTCGACACCTTGAATTTTTATGCTATTTTGACACTCATCTATCGATGGTCAAATTAATATCCGGTTTTCTTGAGGTGGTCGGCGAGAGCAGTAACGACGAGGGTGGCGTTTCCGGCCTGCGTGGTTTCGCTGTGGATGCCGACAACGATGGCCTGCTTGGAGGCGGCAATGGCAACACCCTCACGACCCTAACGCCAAATATCTTTAGTATAGCCCCAACTAGAGTGTGTGTACATGTATAATGAGAATGCGGAAGACGCGGAGCGGGATCGTGGACGTACGGCTCGGGCGTAGAGGTCTCCCTCATCGACTCGGGTCAGGACAAAGCGCTGTCCGGCAATGTAAAGGCCCTCAGCGTAGGCCTTGGCCTCAGCATCCGCGTTTTTGCTGACGATATCGGCAATGACCTTCATCTCGGCGGGTTGGATCTGTATTTTCTACCATTAGCCTCACCGCATGACCCCAGGGTGGCAGTCAGTGTGATAATACCGTCAGATCAGTAGACGTAGCCCAAGCGCTGTCGCCAGCCAAGCTGAGGATGGCACCCTTGGCGATATTGCCGGTACCGACCAAGCTATAGTCCCGCAGTTAGCATTCGATGGTTCGGATCGTCAGCCGAAGCGCGGGAAGATGGAAAGCACCTAGTATCGACGAAAGCTGCGGTTGCGAGGTGTGTCAGTAGCTATCATTTTTTTGCTCCTCCTTGCTCCTTGAGGTCAAGGTGGGGTTATTCTCGGATCAGGGGAAGAGGAGCGCTGACCTTGCCAGGACATGGTGGACGAGATGTGGTGTGTAGAGACGAGTGCGAGGAGCAGAAGAGCAGCGAGAGGAGAAGAGAAGAAGAGAAGAGACCGGCGAGATGAAGATGCAAAGTTTCCGCGACTGGACGAAGTAAATGCAGAAGGAAAATGGCGGAGTGGGTTGTTTATGGCTGTGGATATTCTATGGGATGCTGAGCTGTGCTGAGCCGTGCCCCTCGTTTCGTTTGTGAACGAGCGAGACCAGACCAGACCAGACCAGACGGGTGCAGGTGCAGGTACAGTGACCTGCCAGCACAGGCATTTGCACGCATTTTCACGTCACTGCGAGGTACCCTGACCAATCCGCGCCTAAAATTCGTTCCCCGCCGCGGGCCTTCGCGGGAGGCGACACTTGACTTGGCCAGCGAACCCCACCACAACAGCAGTAGCTCTCAGGTCAACGGCTGCTATCAACGCTACTGTACAGGGCGTCTACCGCCAGTTCTGATGCCCGCTGGGGGTATCTTAGCATGGAAGCTCAGATAGGAGGAGCACGAGGGAGGCCCGGTATAGGAGGCTGCAGCAGGGCCAGATTCCAGGGGGCCTAATGCTGATGCTAATTCGGGTGCCTGCTTATTTTCTTCAGCAGCGCTCCGTAGAGGCGGCGCTAGCTTGGGCTTGACGTCAAATTCGGCGAGATGATGCTACATACCTACCCAGCCGCCGGTTTGGTGCGTTGCGTGGTCACGAGCAAGTGTAGAGACAAGTATAGAAACAATGAGGAACCTACTATCTATAAAGGGGGTTTGCCTAGGATATCTGGCAATTAAATTGCTTGTATCACCTACGCAGGCATCCAGATTGTTTGGACAGTCACATGTATCCAAGATTGGCTTCGACATGCCCCCAATTTGATGGCAGCCTAACCAACTTGCCAACCACACATTTGACACCCTCCTTCAAAGGCTACGATGCTATCCATGTGCTGATTCCTGATTCCTTTGACCGGTTTAAGGGGGTCCCTTTCCCCAGCAGAATAGTCGCCGCCTCGGCAAACACTCCATGGCCTGACAAGTCCACTTGTCCAGATGTGGAATTGTCCAGCTGGCGATTCATCTTGGCCTGAAAAGATATCTGATGCCAAGCTACGTCATCTTCACCATAGCAAGGAGACTCCCAAAAAGCGCGCCGCCCAAGCTCAGAGCACGGGTATCCAAGTTAACCGAGCTTCTCCCAGCGGCTCCAGAGTATCTGTGTCGGTGTGAGAGCCGAAGGAATCCAGCGAGTCACGCTCCGGATTCATTCGCACATCCATGCCCATGTCTCCAAAATGGATTACTCGTGTCCAGCTCATCTGCCACAAGACTATTGATATTAAACAATGACACTTCCATGGATTGGATTACATGAAACTGGACGTGCTCCCGCAAGCGGGGCCCCATTTCCCCATGGTCAGTTGTAAGTGGGACTCGAAGCCATCTTGAAATGATGGTATTTGACTGCAATTTCCTCAGCCAGGTGGAGGATGAGAGTAAATTGTAAATTTGGCTTCTATTACCAGATAGTGGGAATTTATGTCTCCATTATAGGTGAGTCTGGCTGTGAATGGCAATTTCCGCAGCGTCAGTAAATCCCAAATTGCCATTAATAGCATCTTCTCCTTATTGCTCCCACCATAGTGTTACTTAAAAAGAAGGACTATTCAGCTCAGCAATCCAAGTTGCCTATCCAGCATTCCGGCGACTACGAAGAGTTCCAAATGTCGTAACAAGTCGCAGGGAAAGATCTTTTATTACCATTAATTAAGTAGATACACGGTCCCTTGGGTATCTGCTACTCTCGCTACTTTCTGCTACTATCGATATCTTCCTCTAGTATCAATATCCTCGTCTAATATCGACATCTTTGGCTAGGTAGTATCGATATCTCGCTATAGCATCGATCGCTAGCAGGTAACTGATGTGCATATGAGAACCATTATGCTCATGTCAAGTTTTGTGAGCCTTTTCTGTAAACTTCCGCAGAGCCAACAGCTTCGTCTTGAACAAATAGACCCCAGACAAAATGAAGCTGTCAGGAGTGTTAACCTTGGTTGGACAGTTTCCACGAGATACTCGCCCACTACCTGGGCCTCTTGAGATCAACCCCGGATATCGTGCCGCTGATGGCGATGACGATTGTTTAATGCATGTTACAGAGATTAAACATGTCGGATGTCATCCCGAGATTGCGTAAGCTGCTTCTGTACGGAGTACTATGTACGTCTGACTTATAAGCAAGTGCAAGTATACGCTAGACTATTCCCGCCATCTGCCTCCTAAAATACACCCTGCTCTTTATCTGATACAATGACAACTCAACAAACTGTCAAAATCCACCCTCGGAAATAATGAAGGTATCGCTCATTGTCTGACTCGCCATGGAGTGCGTTGTAGTACCGCCGACAGCAGAAACATATAGATTGACACATGTAGTCGATGCAAGGCTGTAGAATGTCACCATCCCGTCAGTCCTGTCATTTCCTTGGTAGGTACCGAAATGTTGCCTTTTCTGAGGCCATCAGCTACATGTGCTTCTGCATTCGCCGAGGCAGATATAAATAGCCAGTGATCTACAGCTACTAATAGGCCTGATGAGATTTTCGGTGTTTTGTACTGGACTTTGATACTTCAACTGCATCACCCCTTACTCTGTGCAAGGCTCTATATTTGATGGCGCGAGAGCATCTTGGCGTTTCCCCTTCCGATGTCTTGGCAACCGGTAGTTTTGCATTCTACAAACCCAATATGCAAATAACCTCTTACAACGAAACACGAAAGAGGATGAGGAATGCCAGGCAATCACGTTCACTGAGGAAATGAAACACGAACTGAGCCGACAGGTCCCAGCAGCAAATTGCAAGGAGGAAGAGGAACCGATGGGAACCCCAGTAACCACGCAAGAGCTGAGAATGCCCATGTTGATATACGGAGCATTGCACTGGGAGAGAAACCCTTGAATAAAAACAAAAATAAAAGTAAAAGCTTTCGGCTTGGCTGCAAGCGGAAAAACTGAGACCTATACCATCTGTCGCTCGGAGGTTGGCTGCGATAAACGAGCTTCCGTAGCATCGCTTAGTCTTCTTTGGATCTCTTCGCATCTGCAACGTCACGCATGAGCGGCTTTTTAGCATGCGCTCCGTACGGAGTCAAAGTCCAACAAAGGACAGCACAAGCAGGCATCAGCCAACAGGGCTGTCGTAGTATGTCTTCAGGAGTCAAGCTTAGTGTCGCACCCCGCCACGTTAAATTGTAAGGGGCCGGAGGAGCCACCGCGTCTGATCTCAGATCGGCCTCTGCGCGGGAATGCAGGCTGCAAGTGTTCCCGATGGGTTTCTGGAACGTCTGTTTGAGCAGATTCTGCGGCGCTTTGTTGCTATACTTGGAGTTCTCTTTCATCCGATTTCCGTTTGAGGATGATGCTTATCTGTGCTCTCGACTCAGTATGAGATTCTGGCGCCAGGCTAGGGACCTGGAATAAGAATAATAGGCGGTAACGTGTATGTCAGGCAAAACTCGCAATGCGTCAAGGCGGTCACTGTTACCGACAATCGATAATTCCCCGTATCATGCTCAACTACCAAAACCACCTAACCCAGCTCGTCGGCCCTTCACTGCTACGTCGATAATATACTACGCCATATCCATGCCAGTCATTTCCCCAATTTGTCCCGGGGGCTGCTTTTGTTACAGAATAATCGTCCACATCTCGTGAGCCCAATTTCTCCAGCTTGCCAAATCCGGCAATCCTTGCTAGCTCTCTGTTTGGGCCCTGAGTTAGCCATCCTGGTGCGGATCAGGCCGCCTTAACATCCGGACATCGCGACCCCTCTCATCAACCTCAAACATAGCTTTGCCAACCAGAAGTGCCGCGCGTTATGCTACTGGCCAAGATCGTGGCCCAAGTTCCGCATTCAGATGACATGGCTGCCCCAAGTCTCCAACTACGGGGGCGGTGAGGTCCTTTGTCCGCCGCCTTGATGCATCGAGTAACACACACCGGGTGCTCATGCGAGAGCATTGTTATGCGCCGCGCCGGCGTCTAGGGGGTTTTGCGCTGGCAGTATCGAGGCAAACATGGGGTCTCTACAAGTACTCCGTAACAAGCCCTAGGTGAAGATGGCCCTGTCCCGATGCGGTGAGTAGGTACTATAGCATCTGCTCTTGTGCCCCCAGAGGACGCCGCTAAGGATGCAAGGCCTTCAAAGGTGGATGAAAGGACAAGTCGGAGGACTGGTATTGCGTTTGGAAATTTCGAAACGCCACGGTCTTCATGCCGATCCGCCACCTCGGCGCTACTGGAGCGGTGCTAATACATAGTTCGCCGTGGCCAGCTAATAGCATCTCACCTTTATCAAACGTCTCCTCCCCGTGTGCTGATCCAAGTGGGAAAATCATCGCATGATCGCCTCTGATCAACCTGCTCCCAGGCCAGTTCTCGCTTTCTTCACAGAGTCTGGCCCTGGCTGCTGAACGATGGGGCTGTTCAAGGTACGGGCAGGGGACACCTCAACCTTGCAAAAACCAAATTTCTCCCAATCCGAGCTTGCCCACAGCAATACGCCAACTTATGCAGCATCAGAAGAGGGCCCGCAAAAATGGGCGGATAGGGATTACAAGTCCTCTTATAAACCGGCATCGTCCGCGTCACTCAGATCTGTCGCGACTGAAAGCGCTTCCAGCCCTTACCAAAACCACAGTCCTTACCATTCTTCAGGCCTGGATGCCAATTCTGCCGCCGGACGGCTTAGACAAGTTGATCAGTTTGGATATAGCAGGTCTACCGATCAGGTCAGTTTGGAATCAAAGGCAACGATATCTATTGATCGTTCTGCGAGTACGAGACACTTGGAAGCACGAACCATCCGTCAATATCACATCCCGTATCCACGCGAAATACCGTCCCCAGCATCAGTCTCCAAAAACACTCCGACTTCATCTTTACTGGCACCACCTTTAACAAGCGGAAACGACATGCCGACTACAATCGGAATGGCGCTTGGAAGTCCGAGCCACCCTCCTGGATCTGCCGAGGCACCATGGCAGACTGCTGCTTCAACGCTTACGACTGTAACTTCCGGGGGAGATGCGCCGGAAGCCAATCCTAATCCCAATGGCCTGTCTAGGTCAATGTCGAAAAGGTGGAATCCTTTTAGTAGGACGAAATCAAAGCGATCTAAGCCGACAGAGACCTCGGCCTCGCGAGCGACGGGCACAGATTCGGGAAAGAGCATGGATCTTGGAAGTCGTGCCAATGGAGCGAGAAGTGGTGACGCTTCAGGAGTGGACAAGAGAGGCGCAGGGTCCGCAGCACGCAAAGACAGCTCAGGCAGCTTATCGAAACATCCGATTCCCGAGATGCCTGTGCTGCCAAATCTACGAGAAGGAGCGGCACCGACGCGAGATCCTCCCGCTCCGCCGCAGCTTCAGATTGAGCAACCGAAACAACTACAATCGCTTCTGAGTGTTGAGATTCCGACCATTGAAATGGAACGCTATAGCATCATGTTTGGAAACATTCTCCAGAAACAGCAGCAACAGTACCAATATTTTCTACAACTTGCTCAGGAGCCTCAACCACCACAAGAGCCGCAGTTACAGTTGGAACCTCCATCGCAACAGACAGAAAAGCTGCTAGAAGTGCAAGAGATTCCAGAAGTTCAAGTCTCACAGCGCCCTGAGGAGCCTCAGCGGCCTGCGCCCTCACCAAAGCCTCAGGGGTCAAAACCAAAGGAATTAGAAAAGCCTGAGGAGTCCCAGGAGTCACAACAATCCCCCAAATCTCTGCCGCTCCAGCCGTTGCAGCCGTTGCAGCCACAGGGGTCGCCGAGGCCGAGTTTGCCAGTCCGACGACAGATCAAAATAGACAGGCTAAACCTACCAGCGGCCAAGAGCTACCGGGATGGTTCTATTCCCGTCGAGATAGTTGTACCACGGAGATCGAGTTCGCCTTTGCCAGTACCAGAAAGCACACCATCAGAATCTCTTGCTGTGCCTGATCAGGCTTCTGCAGGCAATGGCCCTACCCCCAGGCTCTCCTCACGGAGACGATCCAACACCACTCCTGCTGCAGTGGTCAACTTTCCGACTCCAGCCATGTACAAAGTCCCGGCGCAATCGAGAAAAAGAACCACCTCAGTTTCTACCCCCTCTAACGACGAGCCATTACCTGCAGACGCCGAAACAACGCCAGAGCGACGCGAGCGCCTCATTTCCAAGTTCCATCGAAAAGAATCACCATCCGAGCCCAACATGCCAAAAGTCACTGACCAGTTATCCGAATCTCCTGCCTCTGTATCCACACCACCACAGCCGCGATCAATTCTCAAGAAGCCATCAGGACCACCGCCACCTCCTCCTACAAACCGCGTGGCTGAACCCATAGCGTCATCCCAACAAACTGCGCCTCCGAAGCAACACCAATCCCAACTGTCCAGAGCGTCTATCCGCACTGACGCAGACGAAGAAGAGGTCGAAAAGGCCTTATACGAGGCCGTGGAAATCTCCATTGCGCGCCAAATTAGCGTCTCAAGGCAGCAGCGAAGAATGCTGGTGCCTTTGAACCGTTCCGCGTCCAGGAGGGCCCCTGGTGAGCCTGCGCCAGATGCAGCGGCCAATATCACGCTGGGAAAAAACAAGCGAATTGTTGAGACGAGAACCGCGGTCCCCGTCTTGGTTCATCCTGCCAGTGGGACGAGTTCTGTACAAGGTGGCGGCTATCGAAAGAGCTCGCGTGTGGTTCTTGAAGGTGCATGACGGAACGACCTTTTACGTTTCTGACTGATGTATTCTTGTCTATTTTTTTTTTTTTTTTTTTTTTTTTTACCCTTTTATATTTTCTTCATCATCTTCATTTTCTTCATGATTTAGCCACCTAGCGTGCATAGCTAGCTACTCATATGCCCTCATTTGATTCCCTTTCATCTGTCATTTTTCTTCTCTTCACACTTGATAACCCGACTTTTTGAAAATTCCCTTCTTCTCTACTAGCATTAGTGCATAGCCCCATGGGCCAGCTTGATGGCGGATATATAAAATTACAAAGCGAAACACGACTGTGTTTAGCAGTCTTATGAAAACTTTAACAGAATATCATTTGGTATTTTTATAAATTTGTGTGCAAAATCGCAGTGAACACCCTCGTCTTTCCCATAGTGTGTGTGTTTGATACGTATTAGATATAGGTATGTGTGCGAGTTGTGTCTTCATAATAACCAATCTTTCAAAAGCAAACACCCCATTTGTTGCTGAAACATGACCGCATGCAACGCCAAATGAAACAACCTAATTACATCAACACGCAGCAGGAATTCTGCTTCTTTGCTTGCTCTGAATTTTGAAACACGTTAGCAAGGGGACCCGATAGTCACAAAGGGGGAGAAAAAGGTCAGGGGTTTGTCATACGATAAAACATTTTGCTCTGAGCGCTCAGGCCATCGCTCTTTGCCACCAAATCGTCAATCTTCTCTCCTCGCTGCAATACGCTCTCGATGGTCTTGTGCAGGACAATCTTGGTCTCGTCGAGCTCCTTCTGGATCTTCATGATGCTGTCGGCCTGCTGGGGGTCCTGGTACTTGGCGAGGTAGTCCCTCAGCTCGGGGAAGGGCAGGACGACATCGCCGTTTGCCCACGAGGAGCGCGGGTGCTTGGTGAGGAACTCGTCGACGACTTTGCTGAGGAGCTGGTGGGCAACTAGGGCGGGGTATTGGTGGTCGGAGATGATGATGCCGCAGACGCCCTCGGTGCGGCCGTAGGCGTGGAAAGTGTAGTCTGGTGATGCGTGTAAGTGGCTTGGAACTCATGGGCGGCAGTTGGTTTCTCGCCCCCCCTTTGGGGTTTGGCAAGGGAGGGAGGGTGTTGGATCGCGCACCTTGTTCTTCAACGTCTTGTCGTTGGGCAGGTCGAGTGCGCTCGGCAACGGTCTTTGCGAAAAGGGTCATGAACTCGCCATAGCTGGGGGATAGAAGATAGTCTCGTTAGTTGTTGTTTGGGCAAACGGTGCCTTGGAAAGACAAGGCCTGGCTTCCTGCGGGGGGACAAACTTGTTGCGTGTGAAGCGCGAGTATGCGCTCAGCTCCTTCTCAGCAACGATCTCGTGTGCAGGCTGAGAGTCGTTGCGGATGATCTATCTCGAGTAGCAGCCATGTTAGCCAACAGGGACGATCAGGCTTGAGGATTCGGTGAGGAAGACGAGGAGAAGGGCAACTCGAATGGACGTACGCCGATGTAGTGAAGCTTCATGATGGGCGAGATTTGTTGGGTTTGGTGAACGATATACTGGTATTTTCGCCTGGTTGTTCGAGAGAGGAAGTGCAAAGTCGTGCGCTGCGAGTGTGCGATTCGAAATTGCAGGCCAAAGGAGGGTAGTTGAAGAAGCGGGAAACGGATGCAAGTCGATGTCCAGAGAGGTTTCAAGTCGGAGTTTCGAAGGCGCTAAGCTAGTGGTTGGGATTCACATTCCGCAGGGATCAAATGGCCATTATCTGCCCCACGCCCGGATTTTGGGCTCAACTGGACCACAAAAGAGGACCCCGCTAAGTCCAGCGTGCGGCAGCAGGATTTCAGCGCTGCTTGGGCCAGCTGGAGCGCTGTAGTGGGGCGGTGAGTGACTCCCTCCATCCACTATGGGCGGGCGACTTTTAGTGCCTGATGCGTCATCCAAACTTCCATCAAAGAATAAAATGGTCGGAGGGAACAGCTAAGCCTGAAAACACCAAAGCTGTAGATTGCGGCGTTCTTTTTTGTGTTTGTATCGACTGCGTTTGCTCGATTTCTGGATCACTACTACTCTCAAACACCAAATTGACGTTGGACGAACAATGGCCTCAGCTGATCTAATGAGCGCAGAGGCCGAGTGGAGGCAGCAATTTGCTGCTATGCAGGCGGCCCTTGCTAATCTCAAGCTGCCTCAGAATAACATCAAAGCGCCCGATGCTGATGCCGATCTGGACGACGACGACTTTGGCGGCTATTCCTCCACGACTAGTGGCCACGACGTTTGGGACTTCATCTCTGACGAAGACGAAGAGTACTACAGCAGCGATTTTGCAGATGAGGGAACCGGTGCGGCCGCTGGTGGTTTTGGGGCCGAGTGGCTTGCCACCAAATGTGCTTCCATTGCAGCCAAGAATGGCATGTCTCCGGATGTTTTCCAGTCTCAAATTGTGAGCGTGCTATCATCTGGCCAGCCTGATGATGAGTTGCAGGCGCATCTCACTGATTTGGTTGGGTTTGATGACTTGGATTTTATCATTGAGCTGTTGGGACACAAAGATGAACTTCTTGCGTCCGCTTCGACTCACCACGAAGAGCCGGAAACCCAAGGACGGAAACTTTTGACCAAGGCTCAAAGGGAAGAGGCCCTTCGTTTGCGAGATTACCAGCACAAGACTGCAGCCCTCGCACCGAGTTACGCCAAAGAACCTCAGTACCCTCACGTTTACAGGGCATACAATGCAGGAAACACCCTGAGCGCTTCTGGCAAAAAGTACGGCTTGCCGCTAGGTAGTGAGCGTCTTCAGTTTGAAAAATATGAAGAATATTTTGTGCCGGCTGGGAAGAAAGGTGTACCAGGACCAGGAGAGAAGCTCATCAAAATTGCGGACTTGGATGGTCTTTGCCGCAACACATTCAAGGGGTACAAGACTCTCAACCGCATGCAGAGCTTGGTCTTCCCGGTTGGATACAAGACGAGTGAGAACATGTTGATTTGTGCTCCGACTGGTGCGGGTAAAACTGATGCTGCCATGCTCACGATTCTTCACACCATTGGTCAACATGTCCAGCCAAATCCTATTGAAAACCCCGAGGCGACAGAATTTGCTGTCAACACGGAGGATTTCAAAATCGTCTACGTCGCGCCCATGAAGGCTTTGGCAGCTGAAGTCACCGAGAAGCTAGGCAAGCGTCTTGCGTGGCTAGGCATCAAGTGCCGAGAATACACTGGTGATATGCAGCTCACCAAGGCTGAGATTGTCCAAACTCAAATCATCGTCACCACCCCTGAAAAGTGGGATGTCGTCACCAGAAAGGGAACTGGAGATACGGAGCTGGTGCAGAAGGTGAGGTTACTCATCATAGATGAAGTTCACATGCTTCATGATGAACGTGGAGCTGTTCTGGAATCTCTGGTAGCCCGAACAGAGCGGCAAGTGGAAAGCACTCAGTCGCTTATTCGAATCATCGGCTTGAGTGCTACCCTGCCCAACTACGTCGATGTTGCCGATTTTCTGAAAGTCAACAAGTACGCTGGCCTGTTCTATTTTGATGCTTCATTCCGTCCTGTTCCACTGGAGCAGCATTTCATTGGTGTTAAGGGCAAAGCTGGATCCAAGACTTCCAAGGATAACTTGGACAATGTTGCCTTTGACAAGGTCAAAGAAATGCTGCAGCGCGATCACCAGGTCATGGTATTTGTGCATTCCCGCAGAGACACTATGGTGACGGCAAGGATGCTTCACCAAAAAGCGATTGAGCAGTTCTGTGTTGATCTTTTTGATCCATCAGGACACCCTCATTATGGTCAGGCGTCGCGAGATATTGGTCAGTCCAAGTCTAAGGATATTCGAGATCTGCTCTCCAAGGGTATCGGTGTTCACCATGCCGGTATGGCAAGAGCAGACAGGAATCTTATGGAGCGACTCTTTGCAGATGGTGTACTCAAAGTTCTCTGCTGTACTGCTACACTCGCTTGGGGTGTCAACTTGCCTGCTGCGGCGGTCGTTATCAAGGGCACTCAGGTATACAGTGCACAAGACGGTAAATTTATTGATCTCAGCATTCTTGATGTGCTTCAGATCTTTGGTCGTGCCGGTCGTCCTCAGTTTGAAGATACTGGTATCGGCATGATCTGTACCACTCTCGACAAGCTTCCACACTACTTGTCAGCCATCACGGAACAGCAGCCCATCGAATCGAAATTCTCGACAAAGCTAGTCGACAATCTCAATGCAGAAATCGCCCTGGGAACTGTCACGTCGATTCCAGAAGCCGTCCAGTGGATAGGATACTCGTATCTGTTTGTGAGAATGCAGAGAAGCCCAATGACTTATGGTATTGAGTGGGCAGAGATACGAGATGATCCGAACTTGGTTCAGCGACGCCGCCAACTGGCGATACAGGCTGCCCGAACTCTGCAGCAATCCCAAATGATCATCTTCAACGAGAATACTGAAGAGCTCCGCAGCAAGGACATTGGTCGCATCGCGAGTCAATACTACATCCTTCACTCGAGCATACAAGTCTTCAACACGATGATGAACCCTCAAGCTACTGAGGCCGATGTCTTGAAGATGATTAGTATGAGTGGAGAGTTTGACAATATCCAGTCCAGAGATAGTGAAGCAAAGGAGCTGATGCAGTTTAAGGACATTGTCCCTTGTGATGTCGACAAAGGCATTGACACGCCTCAGGTAAAGACAAACATTCTGCTGCAGTCATACATTTCCAAGATTCAGCCGGATGATTTTGCTCTCACCAACGATATGAACTACGTTGCCCAGCAATCCGGCCGAATTTGCAGAGCTTTGTTCATGCTCGCTCTCAACCGTAGATGGGGCCATCAGTGTCTGGTGCTTTTGACCTTGTCCAAGTCAATTGAGAAGAGAATTTGGCCGTTCCAACACCCTCTCCACCAGTTTGAGCTCTCAAAGCCGATCCTAAACCAGCTCGACTCCAAGGAGAATCTGACAATCGACACCATGAAGGAAATGGAGCCTGCAGAGATAGGAAGCTTGGTACACAACCAAGGCGCTGGAAAGAATATTGCCAAGATACTCAACAATTTCCCAATGGTCCACGTGGAGGCTGAGATTGCACCCCTCAACCGAGATGTGCTGCGTATCAAACTATATGTCATTCCGGACTTTGCGTGGAAAGATCACATCCATGGAACGTCGGAATCTTTCTACATATGGGTCGAGAACTCGGAGACTTCAGAAATTTACCATCATGAATACTTTATTCTCAACAGGAGAAAGCTTCATGATGAGCACGAACTGAATTTCACCATCCCTCTGTCAGACCCGTTACCGACGCAGATCTACGTTCGAGCAATTTCTGATCGATGGCTTGGATCGGAGACGGTAACCCCTGTATCCTTCCAACATCTCATTCGCCCAGATACGGAAAGCGTATACACAGACTTGCTTAATCTTCAACCACTCCCCATCACGGCACTCAAGAATCCTGGATTGGAAGAGCTCTACGCCAAGCGGTTTAGCTTCTTTAACCCGATGCAAACTCAAATCTTCCACACCCTGTACCATACGTCAGCAAACGTTCTTCTGGGTTCTCCGACAGGTAGTGGAAAGACTGTAGCTGCTGAGCTTGCCATGTGGTGGGCATTCCGAGAACGGCCCAAGTCCAAGGTGGTGTACATTGCACCAATGAAGGCCCTGGTTCGTGAACGTGTTATAGATTGGGGAAACCGTCTTGCTAAGCCCCTGGGCCTCAAACTGGTTGAGTTGACCGGTGACAATACTCCTGATACAAGGACTATCAAAGATGCAGACATCATTATCACGACTCCTGAGAAGTGGGATGGTATCTCTCGTTCTTGGCAGACCAGAGGCTATGTTAGGCAGGTCAGCTTGGTGATTATCGACGAGATTCACCTGTTGGCCGGTGACCGTGGTCCGATTTTGGAGATTATTGTTTCTCGTAAGTGCCCTCTTTTCATCCCTAGAGAAACAGACTGCTAACTTGTGCTAGGAATGAACTATATTTCGTCGTCGACGAAGAATAAAGTCAGACTGCTTGGCATGTCGACAGCATGCGCCAATGCTACTGACTTGGCCAACTGGCTTGGCGTGAAAGAAGGCCTCTTCAACTTTAGACATTCTGTCCGTCCTGTCCCGTTGGAGCTTTACATCGATGGGTTCCCAGAGGTTAGAGGCTTCTGCCCGTTGATGCAATCTATGAACCGACCGACGTTTTTGGCGATCAAGAATCACAGTCCTGAAAAGCCTGTCATTGTATTCGTTGCGTCTCGTCGACAAACTCGCCTTACTGCCAAGGATCTGATCAATTACTGCGGTATGGAGGATAACCCCCGACGTTTCCTTCGGATGGACGAGGAGGACTTGCAACTTAACTTGTCGCGTGTGAAGGATGAGGCTCTAAGAGAAGCCATCAACTTTGGCATTGGCCTCCATCATGCTGGTCTTGTCGAGTCTGATCGACAGATTGCAGAAGAGCTTTTCTTGAACAACAAGATTCAAATCTTGGTGGCAACCAGTACACTTGCATGGGGTGTAAACCTGCCAGCCCATCTTGTCGTTGTCAAGGGTACTCAGTTCTATGACGCCAAGACCAGCGGTTACAAGGACATGGATCTCACAGACGTCTTG